GTTGGGAGGCCGAGGATGGTGCTGCTGGTGGACACGCTGCGGACGTTGCGCATGACTCGTGGCCGAAACCAGATGCGTGAGTAGAGGGATCTGTTGGCGTCACGGGTGACGAGGTCGTTGGCGGCGGAGGAGTAAAAGGCCCATGTTTTGGCGGTAGAGGTCTTCTGGGCGGCGAGTTCGAAGTCGTGGGCGTTGATGATGGTGTCGAGGTCGGGTTGCGAGTTGTCTCCGGGAGGTGTGGCTTGAGGGGCAGTAGGGGGTGGTTTGAGCCATTCATCGTTGATGGTTGAAGGGTCTAGGCTGCCCTTGAGGTTGATAGCCGGGAGGTTGTCTTTGATGATTGATGGAGCATGGATCTCGGAGTAGGCTTGAGTGGCATCACGTCCGGCGTAGCGATGTATTATGCCTGGACCGCCCGGATGGGAGGGTGCAAACTCGGTCATGTCCCACACCTGGTTGTCAATCACGAGCCAGCAGTCAGACGGCGAATCATGTTTCGAAATCTCTTCTATGGATACTAAACCTGTAGACATTTTAATCCAGAGAGCGAAGCCAAGACGATTCCTCGGTTGGAAGATGTCTTTTCCAAGGCGACTCAATCTTGACGATCTTGTGCAAAACAAGAATGAAAATGCATCGAATACATGTGAGAGAATGGGCCAGTGATGGCGGTTTTCAGGTATTCGTTTGCTACTATTAGTACTTACTCATCGCATACTAGCATTGTTGGGGTTCGCAGAGCTCGGCATTCACTCCGAGCATGTCGGGGTCAATCATATTTACTTATCCCGGCACAAGTCCTGTCGTGTATCAAGACTCACCATCGTGATAGAAATATTGAAACCCATCGCTCTTTAGGATGCGGTGAAAGTGAGCGGTAGGGGAAGACCTGTGCTGTCAGATGCTCTCAAATTCTTCGTGGTGGAGGATTTCCAAAGTCCTTTTTTGTCCACAATTTCTACGCCAAGCAAGACATCAGCACCGGCTTGGTAGGAGAATGTCTTGCGAATAGCGACCCCGAATCATGACCGGGAGCTGACAAGGTGGAGCAGGTTCTACTTTTCATGCTGCTGGCCTGCATGCAAGGCAATACCATCCAGGCCTCGTCCCATCTTCGTCAAGCCGAAATTGCACAATGTCAACTCAACGAAGATTGAGATATGCTGACGTAAAGGACTTGATACTTCCCGTGTCTATTTTGATACTGATCAATTGAAGATAGGAATCAATCTTGGCGATCCTGTCTTCCGAGGAGTCTATCACGGAAAGCCTGCTCATGATGATGACCTCCGAGATGTTATCCAGAGAGCACTTGAGGTGGGCTGTGAGAAGATGATGGTCACTGGTTCAGATCTGAAGGAGTCTGCCCACGCAATCCAACTCACAGAGGAATTCCGTATGTCAAGCCTTCCATTTCCGAGGCTACATGCTAAGATGGAGAACAGCGGGCATCTGCTACGCCACGGTTGGTGTGCATCCTTGCTCGTCAGAACAGTTCGACAAGCACCCCCACGGACCTGACGCAGCTTTGGCAGAGTTGAAGAAGCTTGCAATTCAATCCAGAGATAGTGGCCATGCTGTCGCTTTTGGCGAGATAGGTCTGGACTACGACAGATTAATGTTAGCCCCCAAGGAAACGCAACTTAGATACTTCGAGGCTCAGCTCGATCTAGCTACAGAACTTCAGATGCCTCTGTTTCTGCACTCCAGAGCTTGCAGTGAGGATTTCGAGAGACTTCTGAAACCACGACTCGACAACTTGCCGAAAAGAGGCCTCGTCCATAGCTTCACAGGGACACTTGACGAGATGCAGAGGCTTGTGACGATGGGCTTCGATATTGGGATCAACGGATGTAGCATGAAAACAGAAGCGAATATTGCAGTCGTCAGAGAAGTGCCACTGGAAAGGTTGCAAATCGAGACTGACGGACCTTGGGTGAGCCTAGTTCAGAGTCTGAGGAAAGGCCAAGGCATAACACTAACACTGATAGTGTGAGATAAGACCTTCGCATGCCTCCTCGAAGTACATGGATGACGCCGCGAAACTTTCGATGAAAGCGGTAAAGAAGGAGAAATGGCAGAAAGGTGTGATGGTCAAAGGCAGGAACGAGCCGGTTACAATCATGCAGGTCGCCCACGTCATCGCCAAGATCAAGAACATCAGTATTGAAAAACTATCTGAAGCGTGAGCATTACCATGATATTCAATGCCCTGTCTGATGGCTAACTCGATGGAAAGGGCATGGGTCAATTCCATCCAAATGTTCGGTCTAGGGATACCTCTCAACTGAACTGGCTTTCGACTATTATGGATCAGAGAGCAGGCCCGGAGAGGGGCGTTAAAGCCTCAGCTGGAGCAGTGAGCTTCAGACAAGCTATCTTATATTAGACTGCCAGAAGAGGAAAGTTCCAAAGCGGGAAGTGAGTTCCTGGAGCAGCTACGGAACCGGTCTTCTGCAAGCATCGCGAGCACACTCTGCCACACTTCTGCCATGTGGAAGAGACAAGCTTGACCGCCAGCAAACATCTTGAGCCACATTGAGACGATTAGCGAGATGGTTTCAAGACTTTCTCATTGCGTCTCAAGAGCAATCATGCTGACTCAGTAGGCTGCCTTGGCACTAAAGTGACAGCTAAATTCCGTGTCCGGCAAGCGTGGGGATGCATGAGCACTTCAATTGGGTGACACATCCCAAGAATTGATGAGACAGTTGTCAATCAGTCATTGAAGACCCATCGGATGGAATGGTTGGTGACAAACTTCACTCGTACAACAAACATCGTGGCTCAAAATAACATACATTGTTAAATATGCTGTACTATGCCGCAGTGGCCGACTCCAAGACTGTTTTTGCCTGGTTTCACTGCCCAGCTCTCCACCATACAAGCACAGAATCCTTCTCTCCAACCCGCTTGGCATTGGAACACTTTTTCTAGGCAGTACACCCGCAAAAAATGAATCATCTGCCTGTTGATCCATCTACATACCCCTTCAAGCCAAGAAAAAAGACGCTTGCACCTTGTATGGTCTTCAACATGGATGATCAACTTTATCTTTCCAGTAGAAATCGCTTCAAGGTCCGCTAAACTAGCTGGTTTGCCTCTTCACAAAGGTTCTCCGCCACCAAGAGCGCAAAGGCAAACGCTGGTCAAAGATCAGACTCCCTGGGGACCCGGGATACAACTCATCATATCCATCAGATTGGTCCAGCCCTACCAGAGCCTGTAGAACGGCAACCCACAACGAGCACCTTCTCACTGCCGCCATCTGCAACCATCGTGATTTGCACAATCGATCCGGCATAGTGTTGAGACTAGCACGCGACAGATGCTCGTCTATCTCACAAATCTCGGGCACCTCTCACAAGATGGTGTTCCTTTAGTGCTGCGGTCATCAGGTCCTCCTTAGGCCTATAGGTCTAAAAGATTCGATCTCCTCGACCCCTCGCTTCTAGGCACCATTCTATCCGATAACCGCAGAGACCAGAAATCTGACTTGGATGTTCGGCTACTGATCAGCTTCTCGCCGTAACTGTAACTCCTCTCTTCCCCGAGCATCTCGACCATCAGCGCCCAACCAAGTTCTCCACCGGTAACACTCCGGTATTTATCTATATATATCACTCCTCCGCGCCCTCGCAATTTTTCCATCCCAGGAAATTCCCACAATGAGCATCCGGAGGACGATGCCAGGACGCTGGATAGACTCAGACGATAGCGTCTCCGACCAAGACGCCATCGACAACAACACCACCTCCATCTTCCGCACCATGTCCCTCACCATGGAGGAAGACAAATCGCAACCGCCGACGCCCGACGGGACCGGCCTGCCGACAAACTTCCGGCATCTACCGCAGCTCGTACCCGCAAGCGGCGCACTTCTCCGCCCTGAAAACCTACCGCTTCAAGACCATCATCCCCCTGGCCCCGGACCCGCTCCCCGCCGCCAACACCGCCTTCATGGCCCTCACCGGCATCAAGCACCACCACATCGCCGTCGCCACCCCGGCCGCCACGGTGGCGCGCATCCTCCGGCTCATGCTCGACAAGCGCAACCAGCCGCTGCTGATCCACTGCAACAAGGGCAAGCACCGCACCGGCTGCATCGCCGCCTGCTTCCGCAAGGTCACCGGCTGGACCGACGACGCCTGCATCGCCGAGTACCCTCTTAGCTAAGCTCCGCCGCTTCGAGCCGGCGAGCGACTTGAAGGCCTTGGCGCTCGAGAATGGCTTCGTCGGTGGCGCGTTTGCCCAGGGCGTCGCCGGGGAGAGGAGTAGTAGGGAGTCCGAGAGGACGGTGGGGACCGCGCTGAGTGATGGCTCGGCGGCTACGGTCGGGTGAGGGAGGGGTTTTTCTTTTTCCCTTTTTTGGGGGGGTTGGTGATGATGATGAGGATGAGGAGGAGGAGGAGGAGAGATGGGAAACAGGAACGAAGGGATATCTCTACATGGCATGGTGCGGCATAGCGACGGCGTCTGGGGCTGTACGATTTTGTTGGCGATAAAACGCTTTGATTTGGTTCGAAGCTGGTATGACAAGATGAAGAATGAAGAGCGCTTCAGCTGGAAGAGGAGGCGGGCTTTTCTGCTCCCTCCCTTGCATTGGACCCGGCGTTAGTAAAAAGCATCGGACAAATTTCTCTACATCGATTTGGAAGCGAATATAGCCCCCTACAGCTTGAGAAGTTTGAAAGTCCCTGAAAAGACTAGACATTCTAGGTCTGGATCTGTAATAAGAAACGATCACATCGTCAAAGCCTATTTCATCACCATGAATCCTACAGGTTCCTCTTCTCTTACCACCAATGCTCGCTGGTGGATGAAGATCGCCTCAGAGTATCTTGGGTATTTGTTAAATAGTCTGGCACCGAGCTTCAGGCAACAGCTGGCTCTCCCTCGATATCTGTCAGTCACCTACGTGAAACCATGCCGGAAGAGCTCCCATGTCGAGTATAGCCGTGCCTGAGCTTTTGACCAATTCTCAATCAAACGCCGCACATTCATCACGTGTGCAGGAGCGCCCACAGATTTCTAGTCAAACAACATACCATCATATCCCTGTTCCCGGTCGAACTCCCATTGCTCGAAGCTCGGCTCATACTCGTCGTGAAGCGAAGCGATTGGCCGGGCAAGGCTTCTGTCGGCTGCCACATCTCCAGACTCGCCGGGATCTGCTTCATCAAGCAAATCAGTCCAGTCACCATCGCCACCATCGTCAGTAGTTGCATCCAAATCTCCGAGTGATAACACCGGGAAAATCCTCGGATGCGTTGGGGGAGCTGTGTCCGATGCTAGTTCAACTTGGCCCGGTTCATGGAACTTCTCTTGAGGTTGGAGCATAGGTGAGAGGAGAGCAGTGGAGGTCTCTTGCGAGATGAATTCTGATTCAGAACAGCAACGATTATTGTCAAATAGGAGCTCAGTGCTGCCAGTATTTTCATGCTCGCAAGCACTTCTCAGCCATTCCTCATATTCTTCAAAGAGATCTGGTTCGTATTCCTCGAAGTTGTCTGCTTCATCTTCTTCGTCAAGATTCTCTAGCATGTCATAGTCGTAGCTTGCATCATGATAGATAGGTTCGAAGAGCGCGTTGTAGTCTTCTTCTAACATTTGATCATCTGACTCCCTATCAAATCCGCTACATTCTAGCTCAGCCTGCTCAATATCAAGCGATTCATTCGAATCCACCACAACAGACTTGCGAAAATGTTGCAACGGCTTCAGTCTGCGGGCTGGCTGTGGATCTCGTAAGGCGTTTGTCATTGTCATCCATAGATGCATCTTCACTACTTCCTTGAGCTTTGCCCCTTCCTCTCCAGTCTGATCCGTCTGAAGGTTCCCAGTAGATTGGAGTTTCGGGAATTGCTGTATTAATTCGTCCTTCTTTGTTATGAGACGAAAACATTTCGCTTTCTGCAAGAACGAGGTCAAGAAACGGGCAATGGTGGGTACGAGAGGCCCTCGGGCCGCCACCGCCTTCCTGTAACCAGGGCTGAAGGTCGATGGAGCAATGTCAGCAAGTCCCCTTTCTAAGTTGGATCTTTCCATTTTGATTCCAGGCGCTGTACGAATAGGCTTAGGACAAATTATACTGCGGAAGGCTCCATCAATCAACGCGTTCATCGACAGAAAACAAGAGCTTGAAGACTCCCTGAAGCCCGCTTCACGGGACTCATCCTGTGACTGCACAAAGGCTGACTCTTGGCCCGAGAAGACAATGCTTTGCGTCTCGTCACTGTCATCTTCAAAAGCGCTACTGAACAAATCTGCTGATGTGTCCGAGCTAATTTGATTAGGGGCAGAAGGAATCATGAGGTTATTGGCATCAAAACCGTCCAGGAACGGTGCGTTACCGAACCTCTGCGAAGCAGCCAGCTGGGTTTTATCGATTCCAATTGATTGTTCATCAAAGCCAGCAGGGTTCAGCACGCCATCTCCCGATACCCTGGGACTGTCAGTCTGATCGGGGAGAATGTTTTCCTCGCAGGAAGACCTCTTTTGTGGCACGAGTGTAGTTGTCCTGAGGCACGAAAACGTGAAGAAGATATTGACCGCACGAAGAACAAGGGTCGGAATCCCCGCGGGGGGCTTCGAATTTTCTCCGTTGCTTACTTCATAAGAATGTTGGCAAGCATGTTCTGGCTGATGATTGCCACCTGCGATTTGCTGGCGGACTTCGAGCTTTAGAGCTGTAAAACCGTTGTCATCCTTTAAAAGGTCATTATGTGGCAGGTGGACGTCCGCTCTGAGCTGCAGTTGAGACCACAGCTACGATATGTTAGTAGTTACTCTGATCTGTACTTAACCCCTTACCTCTGCCTTACTCAGGATCCTGCCAAGTTGCTTCAAGAAAATTGCCTGTGAATCGAAAGGGAATGATGAACCTTCTTGAGAAGAAACCAAGAAAGAGATCATAAAACATGGCTTAGCTATTATCCAGTGATCCGAATCAAGGAAAGATGAATATGGGAACTTGGGTCCAACCGGGCAGGCCACATCTGTTGAAAGCTCGACAGAGATGTTGGAAACTAACTGCATCCCGGTGCTGAGCTGTGAGAGAGATACACTTCCAAGATCTATTTGATATACAGCCATTGAGGGTAAAGGATCTCAAGAGCAAACAACAGAGTAAATGTATACAACTTCGAAATGCTCTCAAAGACCATGACATGATTGAAATCTGCTTCCAGATTACTCGAAACAGGAACGAGTGGGCCAAGAAGGTCTCGAGGAGAGCACCGTTGTTATATGCGGACAACTTTCTCCATGCGCCGATGGTCCCATAGGTAGGTTCATCCCTAGGAAAGAGAGAATATAGATCTGAGAGAATGTTGCATGCTAGACTATGTCAAGAATTTGATCTTGATCCAGCTCCTTGCCAGGACTTGTCTCCAGGATAGCTTTGGCTATCACTCCATGCATATTGATGTGGCAGTCTGATGTACATTCAGGGCAAACCCGTCGGCACGATTGCCTGCATCTTCTAACCATAGAAGCTGTGAACGTCGGGCCATGCTACAGTTCTCATGTCAGTAAGACCTCAGTCGTGAGCTGCATTATGCTCAGGCGTTCGTTGGTGAACGAGACCGTTAGAAGGGCCGCTGACATTCATCGACTTCACAGTGCGCCAGCATAAGTACCTGTCTTGGTGAGTTGGTTAATCAGCATTTGCGCAAAGTGCTATCTCGGCTTTTCTCCTGACCAGCCATCCTGACGAAGAACAACGTGAATGCGTAACCATGCATGGGCACTTCAGTACTCTGGATGAATTACGAAGGCAGGATGATTCTTGTTGGAGCCGTCAACAAAGTGGATGCAATTCCTTAGCAATATGTGCGGTACATTAGGAAGCCATGGTCGAACACAGTGTCGTTCATATAAGTATGAAGCCGGATACTATTTAGTAGACCTAAAGACCTATACTGCATAGAATGGTGTTGCTTTGGATGCGAGCAAACAAGTATTTTGAGAACCCTTTGCGGGTAAAAGGGCGAGAATTACCATTGACATTTTGTGAGATGACGCACAATAGCTCCACAAGACATGGCAAGGCCACAGAGGCTAGGTGGTCAAATTCTTGAAGGTGGATTGCACCGAAGTACACAGTTTACGCTGTTCAGCAGGATGCTGTGCGGAGGGATGGTCTTCTCGAAGAAGCAATTGAGCACCATTTCCGAAGCACGTAACTCTTCGTCTTGACTAACTAGCCCACAAAGGCAGACTTCCCTCTCAAGCTTCGCAGAACCTTGTTATGAGTAATCCGACATGAATACCCAGTCCTCACTGCGCATCCTGCAAGCTGTCCTCCTATCTGGCCGTCAGCAGCTCTGTGCGCAGCGGCCAAAGATACAACGTCGATGTTTTCGTTCCAGCCTAACACAGCAGACAGATGGCGTGTACAAAGCCTTGACAGAGATGCGTGTGCGGACACCATGGATCGAGGCTCTTCGACAAAGCAAGGAGGACAAGACTCAGAACGCCAACCTGCCCATTGAACCAATCAAGCCAGATCTAACGCCCAAAAGGATGTCAGACAGCTATTTCAAATGTGTATGGTCTCATTTGTGTGTTTCAATCGTTGGCTCATGTGGGATCTAGGTGCTGCCTCTCGCTCAGGACCCCTGGCTGCTCGATACGTACGCCAATTCATCCGGCCAGATCCGTCTGGGTACTCTACTCATGGACCTCGATGCTTTATCCGGAGTCGTGGCGTACAAGCACACAGGAGAAGGAGTTACTACGGTCACCGCTGCTGTTGATCGGATCACTATTAAAAACCAACTTCACGAGATCTGTGACCTGGAATTGAGTGGCCAGGTGACGTTCGCTACGGGACGCAGCAGCATGGAGGTAAGCCTTAAAATAGCAAAAGTACCTCCCAAGGAAGCTGAAAGGGTCAAAGAGGAGGACGTTTTTATGACTTGTGCTTTCACAATGGTATCCCTCGATCCCATCACCAAAAAACCTGTCAACGTCGCCCCACTCAAACTTGAAAACGACGCGGAAAGGCAGCTTTACGCTAGGGGAGAAGAAAACTACAAGAGCAAAAAGGCGCTGAAACATACGGCTATAACGCAGAAAGCACCCAATGCAGAGGAATCAGCGCTGCTACACAAAATGTGGACGGACTCGCTGGCATTCCTAGACTCATTCAACCCTGCTCAAAAACCTAACAACGTATCTTACATGAGCAAAGCAACTGTCTATTCTGCCCAGATAATGCAACCACAATACCGAAACAGGCACAACTTCATGATCTTCGGTGGCTACCTCCTAAAGCAGACTTTCGAGCTAGCATTCACATGCGCAGCAGCATTCTCCCACACGAAACCCAACTTCCTCAGTCTCGACCCGAGCACCTTTGAGAACCCCGTACCAGTCGGAAGCGTGCTCTACCTCTCCGCTGGTGTGACGTTCACAGAGCCTGATATCAACGGCGGTACCCGGATTCAAGTGATCGTGACGACCAAGGTGCGCAATGTCGAGCATAAGGAGCGAAAGAGTACAGGAACATTCTTCTACACCTTTCATGTCGACAACGATGTCCGGATCATGCCACAGACCTACGGTGAGTTTATGCGCTGGGTGGACGGACGAAGAAGAGCCCAAAGAGTGACGGCAAGTCTGAAAGCTAACGAAGAGGCTGGCAATACACATGATACCATTGGCACCGCTTCGACGGAGCGAGTCACGGAGTGAGGATGGAAAGTGCCAGGTGCGGACGACGTCAAACATTCTATGAACAAGGCCAAGCGGGAGGTAGAACACATCCTGTCCGAAGCATTTTAACTGCAGTCAAAGAGCAAAGAGCAAAGAGCCATAAGACATCCTCAACGCTTCTCTCATCGAGGCCCCGTTTCACCGGTAGGGCAATGCATCCCTGCCACCCGTGGCGTAGCGGAATGTCAAGACCGGAAAAGGACCTCATGGCGTGGCTGCGGGAGCACTGGTACCCCGACCGGCTCCAGTCCGTCAGCTAAACGGTGTCAACCTAGGAGGGCCATTTGATGAGATGTATAACGAGATCGAAGACAGGCACAGATCAGGCGGTAGTTCAAGCGCTTTCGAGATATGCTACTGGTTTGCATACCGACCTCGGTAGATCGTAACGCAGGATAGAACTAAGTTAGACTTCACAAAGCGAACTGCTCGTGACGGATGTGCAGTCGCTGATGGATAGAGTGGCCTCGAGGTTCGGGGTCATGGAATTCATTCTGAAAGAGAATCAATGTACTACACTAGAAGTGCCAGGGAAAGTACGCTCTAAGAAGGGTTTTATTTCTCCGCGACGCAATCCAGCAGGGTTCGAACGAGGAAACCCATCTGATCCCTTAAGTGGCATCCCTTGCGTCTTCTACTGGCTGTCTATCGTACCTCTAAAGCATCCAGGAGCTCTCGTGAGCAGATTTCCGTAACCCCGTGGTACTCGCAGCAATCAACAAGCACCGCGGTCGGACGTCAAGACTTGGGCAACGTGACCTGCGCCACTCCATCCAACACCTCATTCATGGCCTCCCCCTCTTCGATTCTCACTTCCCCTTCGTCCCGTGGCGCTCCCACCTCTCCATCCACGGTCGCTGCCTCCTCTCCCTTGACCGCCTTTCCATCCCCATCCCCATCCGCCTCCTTCTTCCCAGCACCGTCCTTCTTGGCCGCCTTCTTCTCCTTCGCCTTGGCCTTACTCGCCGCCTTCTTGGCCGCTATTTTCGCCGCCTCCTCCTCCTTCTTCCTCCTCTCCTCCTGGTTCCCACCATACATCTCACGCCAGTACCCCGCTTTGCTGTCGTCTATCTTCGTGAACAGATAACTCGCCTTCCCGATCCGGTGGCCCGCTTTCAGGTACGTCGGTTTCCAGCCCCCGGCACCGGCGATTTCTTCTTCGGACGGAATCTGGAGGAAAGGGACGGCGAGCTGCTCGCGGATCGAGGCGCAGGTGGCGGGGAGGTAGGGCTCGAAGACGGCGGAGCAGAGATATATGAGGTTGAGGACTGTGCCGGTGACGGCGGCGGCGAGGTTGGGGTGGTTGGCGATGAGGGCGTTGTCGAGCCGGTGGGACTGGATGAGGCCGTTTCCGGCTTCGGCGATCTTCATGGCGAGGAGGATGCCGGAGCGCAGGCGGACGGCTTCCATTTCGGCGAGGTATTGGATTAGGAGGTCTGTTATCTCCGAGAGGGGGGTGGTGAAGGTGTCGGGGAGGTTGGAGGCTGAGAAGGCGTCCGGGATGGTACCGTTGTAGGCTTTGGGGCTGTTGACGAGCTTGATGATTCTGTTGACGAAGTTGCCGAGTTTGGCCAGCAGTTCAGAGTTGTTGCCGTCGATGAAGGCTTGCCATTCAAATTGCGTGTCGCCCGTCTCAGGTCTGTTCTTCATGAGATAGTAGCGCCAGACATCTGGTGGTACGCCGGTGTCCTTTGCGTTGTTGCCGAAGACGCCAACGCCACGGGACTTGCTGAACTTGCCGTTTTCGTAGTTGAGGTATTCAGTGGCTGAGAGATGGTGAAGCATGGTCCAATTATCGCCTGAGCCCATCTGGCAACCAGGGAAGATGACCGAGTGGAAGGGTACGTTGTCTTTGCCCAAGAACTGATAGAGCTTTACCTCGTCGGGGTTGTGCCACCACTGCTTCCACTCTGGAGTGTAATTGGCGGTGATCGAAGGGTACCCAATGCAAGCCTCAAACCACACATAGAGAACCTTGTTTTCATATTCTGGTAAAGGGACGGGTACGCCCCAAGATAGATCTCTTGTGATACCCCGATCCTTCAAACCCTTTTTCAGCCATGACTCTGTGATAATTCGCCCATTCTTCGACCAAGCACCCTTCTCTGTTGAAAGCTTCGTGAACTCTTCAATCCTTGGCTGCAATTTACCAAGGAGAAGGAACGTATGCTTTGTCCTCCGCCGAACAGGAGTTGCCCCGTCAACCTTACATCGTGGTTTTATCAGGTCTAGAGGATCATCAAGCAGAACTCCACACTTGTCGCATTGGTCTCCTCTCGCGTCTTCGTAGCCACACGTTGGACAGGTACCCTCGATGAAGCGATCGGCGAGAAATCTGTTATGCGACTCGCAGTATGGCTGCTCAGTCCATTTCTCTTCCAAGAAACCGTTCCTGTACAGCTTCGTGAATACATCCTGGGAGATCTCTGTATGTTGTCTGGTCGGTGTGCGCCCAAATATGTCGAAGCCGATTTCAAACCATTCGTAAACATCGGCATGTATTCTGTTGTATTTCCTGCATAATTCTTCTGGTGTCACTTTCTCTTCAAGGGCTTTGGTCTCCGTCGCAGTGCCGTATTCGTCGGTACCGCAAACGTAGAGTGTAGGTCGTCCTCGAGCTTTGTTATACCTGAAGAATCATGAGCAAGGGATCTCCCGTGTATGTTCGAGAAGAATTACCGAGAAAAGACATCGGCGCTCAGGACGCTGCCGACGATGTTTCCAAGATGGGGCACGTTGTTCACATACGGCAATGCGGAGGTGATTAAAACGTTCCGCTGCCCCTGCTTTGGGAGAATTTTATCTTTTGAAGCCATGGCTGGGTCGAGGACGGCTTCGAGGATGGCAACAGTGTATGACTTCTACGGAACAACTGTGAGTCAACATCAATTGTCACCTGTGTGTCATATTTGCAGCGCAACAAAACCCCAACAGGCGGGCAAGGTGCGGAGTGGGCACAGGTCAACCTGAAATATGTTTTTCCATCGTGTTGAAAAGCCGAATATGATTCCGCTGTCTTTGTGCTTATCGTCCTTCAGTTTGATGCCCTTTGATTCCAGCTGAAGTGTTTCAAGCCACAATATCGTCTGGGCTTTGTCAACCCAAAGCGACAAGCAGTGTACGAAAGGCTACTGTACTGATGTCTATTACATGTCTGGGATCATGAACGATGATATCCTGGACAGCGTCCTCGATCTCGAAGAGACCTCCTACCAAGCAGGGTTCGACGAAGGAAAAGCCGACGGGCTGGAAGCTGGATATACAGAGGGGAGAATATTTGGCATTGAAAGAGGCTACCATAAAGCTCTTGAAATGGGCAAACTCCACGGAAGAGCTCTAATGCTGAATGCTTGCCTGTTCGATCCGAATCCGATGCCAGATAATGGTCTGGATCCATCACCCTTCGAAGCAGCCGTAGTGACTACCCAGGACTCGAAACCAGGCAATGATAACAACGCTCCAGACCCTTCCAATCTCCCAACCCTGCCAGAGAATTCCCGGCTCAAGAAGCACGTCGAGACTTTGCTGAAGCTGACGGATCCGCAGACCCTGTCAGAAGAGAACACTGACGAGGCTGTCGAGGCGTTTGACGACAGGATGAAGAAAGCGGTCGCCAAAGCTAAGATCATTGATAGAATGATTGCCGAGCCGTACAACATGTCGGTCTCAGGGGATCCTATCGAGAACGAGTCTCAGCCCACTTCTGGGTCGGGCAACATTGAAGAACTGAATAATGCTGCTGTCCGTCATTAGAGCCTTTGGTTGGAGAGTCTTGACCGTTTATTTGGCCTGGAACGACTCTCCTTCCTTCCACATCTCTCTGCATCTCTCTATGTGACAGATCAGGCCTTCGAATACGACCAAGTGTGGATGCGCAGGTTCCTCTGCTTGAACATTAGCTACAACCGCCTTCAGCAGACATTTGGTCTCTGTCCGAGTTCGGAAATTGATGCCAAGCAGGGGCTCCGTCGAAATCTCGAGTCATCCCCCTTTCTCCTATCCCCACATACTACTTTTCTCCACACTGTAGGTACCAGGACCTTATTCCCTGCCACTATGAGTTCACCGGTGGCACAGAGTCGCCTTGTCAGCGAAGTCAAGCGGCCGATGATGCTTTGTTCGCTTTGTCGCCTTGCATCACATGATCACAGCTCGTACTGCCATCAGTGAGAAGATGAATTATGCTGCGCTGTACTGTGTTGCCGATGGCTGAAACAAGATACATCATTCATGATTCTCGGCGCCTGAGAGTTGGATGGGTCATATGGTACAACATCTTTTCTGGATGAAGGAAGACCTGAAGGCTCTGTGGTTAGGCAGAAATCCAAGAATCATTACGGAGAATTGGAAAGGCCGGCAACAGAAACAAATGAGGAAAATATCCTCTACGTGTCAAGGTCGGACATGATTCCTACGATGGAGAACCAGCCGGGCCTTATGGTCTTACATGTGAATGGCTTTCAGGCTTGATCTTTCATGCGTAACGTGCTTAGAGAAACTGAACTGGTATTATTTCGGCATGCTTGCTCAACGCTATCACGCATGGGTTGCCTCTGACGTCAGATGTGGTCCTTTCTCCCGATCGAATCTCTCGTTCAACCTTCGTGCTCCTCCCATCGAATGGTTTAGGCTTCGCACTTTTCCCTGTCACGTTCCTCAATTCCAGCCAATTTAGCAAACGGGCCGGTGCCTCAAGTACCAGGGACGCTTCGGTCGGAAGCTCATATGATGTGCCGGGTGGATTAGTAATTTCAGGTTTTCACCCTTTTACCATTCCGTACGCATCACCTCTTCATCTCTTCTTTGCTCCTGCCCTAGGCTTAACCTCCTCCGGCGCAATCGGGTGCAGCATGACTTTGTTTGGGGTCTGTGTCGTATTGTTGGTATAACCTCGGCTCCAATCATAGCTGACCGCATAAGCAAAGATATTCCCATTTCTCGAGAAGTCCGTTGCGCTGATAGTGCCTCCAACCGCCGGATACCCTTTCAACCTGTGTTTGGCATCCTTGTCCCAAAAGTGAAATGTCCCATCGCTACCTGCTGTGCTGAAGGTTCCATGCTGCGGGTGGAATGAGATGGCGTTTACGGCGAAAACATTGCTGACGTCTCGATTTGGTCCGGTACTTGGTGTCTCGCGGTGGCATTTGAACGAGAAGTTGAGGTTGGCGTCTTTATCCTCGACGTACTGGATGGCGCAACGGCCTTCGATGCTGCCCACCGCGAAGCCCATGGCGTCCGTAAAACAGCTCACGACTCTTGTCTGATATTTCAAGGGTGATTGAAGTGTTTTGTAGAATTTTGTTGGTTCGTCAAGGTTAACAATGTTGATGTAGCGGTCGGCGGTGGCGATGACGAGTAATTTGTTCTTGACGTCCATGGAATAAACGCGTTCTTGGTTTTCGATGTTGGCGACCGGGGTTGAGCTGCGGAGGTCCCAGTACTTGACCGTTTTGTCCCAGGAGCCGGTCACGAGCATGGGGTTCCCAGACGACTCAATGAATCGGCACGTGCGTATAGGCTGGTCGTGGGCGGCGACTTGCTGAGCAGCAGTAGAGTTGGACGCTAGGTCGATAATTTTGGCAGATTTGTCGGCACTGGCGCCAGCGACCTTGGTGCCATCCTGGTGAGAGCATTAGTAGGTGTAGGGCGCTTCGCTGATGTCCGTATCCTTACGTGTGACCATGAACAGTTCAGAACAGGCCCATCAAAGGTGATCTCCGCTTTGCCCTGACTTTGCCCTTGTTCGCTGACTTCATATATGCGAAGTCTCTTGTCCCATGATGCTACAGCAAGGAAATCTGCAGTAGGAGAAAATGAAAGGTCGGAAATGCTGTCGTCAGGTGGTTGGTTCAATGCGACATCTTTTGAGATATCACCAGTAGTATTGCCTGCTGATGTCGAAGCGGAGGTAGTGGACCCGAAGAGCGCCATGGTGGGTATTTCAGAACATTGAGGTACTCATAAAGGCATCAAGGTGGATGGGCTTAAGGATTGTGGAAGTACCGAGTCACTCTGACCGTTTCTCGGAATGACTGGGCGCATGTGAGTCTAGGCATCCAAGCTGTAGTTAAGTTAGTTGGGAAATTTCGTGCCTCGACGCGCTTAGCTGAGGCCATTCATAGATTTTCCATTCCGTTTATGGCCACTCTTTACTTCACACCATTGAACGGGATTGCACATTTGCTGTACTAAGATAGTGATCCGTTCTACTTGTATCTGCCTTCTCCCTATAGAACGCAGTTGTCAGAGGATACTTGTAACCGAGCCTTGAGCTGCCAGGACTTCACAGCGACGTCAGGTATCCGAGTAGCAAGATATCATTCCAAGTATCATTTGTTGACCAATAAATGAATTTGAATATGGCTTCCGAATATGTTCCCATTCTCAGCCTGTTAGGTCAATTGAGTTCTGCATCGCCAACTAGGGCCTGGCAGTCAGCTCCTCATCCACACCTGCCAATTGTTGCTACAGCCACCAGCGACAGGACTGTGTCGATCCATTCCCTCCGCGACTTCCGAATCCTAAGCACGATTTCTGGAGGTCATAAGCGCAGCATTAGATCAGTCGCCTGGCGAGACGACGGTAAGAAAGGAGAAAGTGTGCTTGCAACTGGAAGTTTTGATTCGAGTGTCGGCATCTGGAAACGAGAAGATGCATACACTAAGGATGAAGGGGGACCACCCGGTGGCATGACTGAGGACGACCTTGACTTGTCGAATGAGGGTTTCATAGGCAGTGAGAGCATCAGGAGTGAGGATTCTGAAGACTGGCAATTTGCGGTTCTGCTCACTGGCCATGACTCGGAAGTTAAATGCGTTGCTTTCTCGCCATCAAACCCCTCTTTGTTGGCAACATCCTCACGCGACAAGTCTTTGTGGATATGGGAGGCCGTTTCCGAAGAAGATGACTATGAGACCATCGCAGTCCTGACGGATCATTCGGGAGATGTGAAATGTGTGGCCTGGCACCCAGAACGGGAGATTCTGGCGAGTGGGAGCTACGACGATTCAATACGGTTATGGCGAGATATTGAGGAAGAGGGCGATTGGGGCTGTATTGGCTGCATTGAAGGTCATGGGGGAACTGTATGGGGAGTTACTTGGGAGCCTCGCCTCGGGAAGGCTTCTCATGAGGAGCTGAGGCTGGCGAGCTGCTCGGATGATCTGACCATCCGAATATGGAAGAAGGCCGCACCCGAAAGAAGAGAAGAACGCAAACCTGGAGCACTGCCCTCGATTATTCGGCCACCTTCGAGCACAGAGCTCTGGCAGCAAGACTCTATACTCCCTCAAATGCATTCTCGATCCATCTATGCCATCGCTTGGTCCAAAATATCAGGAAGGATAGTTTCTTGCGGCGGCGATGGCAATATCTTTGTCTATAAGGAAGTAGAAAGCAATGAATCAGAGGAAGACGATTCTATGCAAGGGACAGATAGTAATGGTGAAGCACCCGATAGAAGGTGGCAGGTCGTTGCTCAGATGGGCGGCGCTCACGATGACTACGAAATCAACCATGTTTGTTGGGCACCGCGACAGGACCGTGGCAAACAACACGACGACGAAGAAGTGATCTTGTCAACGGGTGATGATGGTGTTGTTCGTGTGTGGACCCTACCATGAGAATGTAGTTAGTCCTCATAGAGCTTGGCCCCCAGTTCCAAATCCACTGCTGTCAAGCGGATACATTTAGCTGGCATCTATCGTCGCCCAACACCGTGGCGCTTTACTGAGTTCATAACCCTCCACAAACCGGTGTGCTTAGTCATCACTGGCATCTACTTGCCTTGTGTAAAACTTTGGCTTGCGTAAGACCCGAAAGGAATAACTTCTCTATTTTGTTTTTCTACCTTGGACGCGGCCTTTCTTGGATTGTGAGTTGATGACATGGAACCTTAGGCTGGGAAGGATAGGGAACCAGATCTTGGGCGCGTCCTCACCCCGAGCAATGTCGGCCAAACGGCCAGGTCCTCCCCTTTCTCCACCTCCTATCAAGCGAAAGATAGAATCGACAACTACAAGTGAGAGCTGCCGATCTGTGTTACGAAAGTGATATTGATCCTTGTTAGACAAAGCAGTTGCAAGCTTTTTCAAACCTGCTTCGCAGAAAGAGCCAGAGAGACTGTCATGGAGAATTGTAAACAAGAGCCTTATTGTTGGCAAATATGCGGAGGGACTTGATCTATCTCGAAACACAGCGAAGTCTTCGCTACCACAAATGATTGCTACTTTTGATCTTGATGATACACTTATCGCACCAAGCATCGGGAGCAAGTGGAGCAGATCTGCATCAGGTTGGCGTTGGTGGCACAGTACGATCCCTACAAGACTGAAAGAGCTTCATGCCAAAGGGTCTCGCATAGTGCTTTTAAGCAACCAAAGCACAATCAGCCTGAAGGACAACCCTAAAGTGATACAAAAGGATAGTGTTAGCCTCGTCAATTTCAAGAGTCAGTTGGCAGCCATCCTCCAACGACTTGATCTACCTATCAGCGTCTACGCTGCTACAGGCCAAGATATGTATCGCAAACCGCGGACGGGCATGTGGAGAGAAATGTTGGAGGACCTTGACCTAAACGGACCTGGCATGATTGACATGAGCGCATCGCTCTACGTAGGAGATGCTGCTGGGCGAGCAAAGACCTCAACACGACCCAAAGATCATTCGTGCTCGGACAGGTAGGACAATTTCACCGTAGTTCGCATGTATTAGCTGATAAACGAGGAGGGACCTGGCTGCTAACATTGGCATTCGCTTCTACACACCGGAAGAATACTTTCTGGGTGCTGAACCAGAACCATTCACAAGAGAGTTTGAACCCACGAATTTCCTCGGAGTTCTATCCGGAGAGAAGACAGCTGGTACTGCGGACCGTGAGTATAACAAAATCAACACGCAAGATATTATCCTGCATTGCGGTTCTCCTGGGGCCGGCAAATCAACATTTTTCTGGAAAAGGCTTGAGCCGTTGGGATATGAACGAGTCAACCAAGACATTCTCAAAACAGTGAGCGCATGCCTAGATTTTCCACTCGGTGCTTTCTTACGTGCCAGTCCTAATCAGCTGCAGCGCGAAAAATGTCTAAAAGTTGCCAGAGAGCACCTCGGTGCAGGCCGCTCGGTGGCTATAGGTGAGCAAACTACCAGAACCATGAGCGCGAATTACCTAGCCATGATGAAGTTGACAGTCGAAGATAACACGAATGCCAACCCTGAAGTAAGAGCGTCATGGATTGACCTTGCTCGAGCATTCAAGATCCCTATTCGATGTGTTCATTTCACCGCGTCCACAAGGCTCTGCGAGCACAACGACACGGTTCGCGCATTGAATCCGACCCTGGTTCGTGGCAGCCCAGCGTTCTGGACGTGTCGAAGGTTTCTATAGTGAGGATAAGCTAACGATGGAGCCAGATGAATCCTGAAAATCGGTCCGTATTGCCTCCCATGGCGTTTCGAAGTTTTGCTTCCAGATATGTCAAGCCGGCTCTTTCGGAGGGATTCCAGGATATTACCGACGTGGATTTTGTGGTATGAAATAAACATCTACTTCTTCATTAGGAGCGCATAGCGACTTACGAGAAGACTAGTTTGAAGGAACGCCAGAACAACGGCTTGTCTGGTCCCAGTATTGGGTGTCCAATTTCTCAACATGACTTTCGCCAATAATATTGTGCCAAGTGACTACTTGGTCAACATGATTGATCCAGGTTTCATGCGGTGCCAAAGACCAGCCGGCCGAAGTCTATAACATCCCTGTGATAGTCCATTATTCACAAAACAATTTCCCGGGACAGGACTTCCGACAATTGACACATCTCCAATGCTGCAAACCCATTCTCCTTATCGCTGAACTAGTAGTCTATGTGTTGTTTCCACTTGGGCCGGGACACTCAATTTTGCAGAACTCGAAGCATACTTTAATCGTTTCTATGCGAGTCCTACTTCATGCACTTCAATATCCTCATCATATATCATGTATCGGTCCTAACGGCCTTATTGCTCCGGAGATTCGCGAGTGCAGATAGTGTCAGTGATGTACGCACTAACTATGGTTGGAAGCCACATTTGCTCAAAGTCCTCCGCGCTACTCGTCTGGGCACCAACAAGACCAGATTCCAACAAATTGGTGGGAAAGTCTCGATTTGCCTTGGTCTGAAAGATCTGCCAAGCACACTGTTAGTTGGTAGAACTCCTTCCACTTCCCGAATAGCAGTTTCTTCCACACTTCTGGAGGCCGAAACCAACGAAATCATAGAAACGGCCACTATTGACCGGATACTATGTCGGAAGGACGTTGTGATGATCTACCGGAAATTGGTACGATAAGCGCTAGAGGAGCAGCAACGGTCAAACAGCTTGAAGTGGCTGGTAGAAAAGGCTCCAGCCATGATTCTTCCCAACATGCTACGTCGAACATAGTCTACTTATTGCAATTCATGATGTCGTTTCCCGTCATCCCGGCTGTTGTTGAGATATCTTGACTTTCCGATATTAGTTATCTCAACCTAACAAGATCATGATCATGTCTATCGAGCGACCAGGCGTCCATTGCGTGCTCCTTAGTAAGTTAGTTTCCAGTCTACCAGACAGAGCGTTGGCAGCATCCAAGTGACCATGTTCTTTCATTCCTGTTTAAAGAGCAAGTAATCATTTCAGCACCGACTGGCTGATAACATGGCCAATGCAAAAGATAACAACAAACGTACTCAACTCGCCAGTGACTGCAAAGAGAAGCAAGGTACGGAGTACAAGCACTGGCAAGAGAGCAGTTTTTTCCCCACTAATAAACTCCCAGGAGCCTTTCAACGGGGACGGACCCAAGTTCCTCCCGAGAAAATTGTCTTGCTTAAGCAGGCTAAAGGTACCAATCAAACCTGACGCTAGGGAGGAGTCAGTGAGTGGGAACGACAACCGACAGACTCTGCAACCCGAAGCCGAACTCGCATGTCTACCAATTATGAAATCAATCCTGACCTTTCTGCTCTCCCTTGCTGGCACCCTCATCTGCAAGTATGGAGTACGTAGTTGACCCATCAGCGTTACGAACCGGGCCGCCTCCTTTGTCCCTCAGTATCTGGGTCCGCAAATAGCAATCAGTCACACAGGAAAAGGTTTGGCACTTTCCTGCGAGGTTCAACTTCCTCACAGTGGAGAATAGTTACAATTGGCTGGTCTTGGCCAATGAGCTAGCAGAAACCTAATCATTTTCCCTTGGGGTCCTTTTCAACGACAAAGAAATCATGGCAGTAAACGCCACTGGTTGACAGCCACCACTGACAAGTGACCACAGGTGACAATTAACACAGAGCAGGCTCGGCTGAGATGTTCCATGTGGAGCGAATCAATCGACTTCCTTGCCGTCTTGCAGCAGACCTGCAACCGACCTGCAATCGACCCGCAGGTCGACCTGCAGTAGCCTGCAGCAAGCATCCATTAGCCGCATCACTTTCAACAAAGAAAAGTGCCAAGATTAACAGCTCAGAATAAACTCAAATGGCACTAAATCCAGAGTGATCTAGCCACCAACTGCTAGCCCTTGGGTCTTTTCAGAGTATCCTCCAGACTTGACGGTGTGATTCACAGGCCCTTGATCCCCGATCGATATGCTTCTTCTGCTTCCCCTGCGGGTCCGACCCTGCATCCGCGCCGCTTAGCATAGGTCAGGACGGTAGCCATGGCCTTCCCCTGATTCGTCGCTAAGCCGTGATGCTGATGGACATTTCGTCACTTTAGCTTCGTAGGGTTGAGCAGAGCAGAGTAGAGAAAATTTGCAGCTGCTGGCAGTCGCTGCCCTAGGCTTCATGTCACCGTAGATGCAGTCACGCACTGCACAACTACGGAATAGGGTACGTGGAGGAGGGATCGGAAGCCCACAAAAATCTCAAGCAGCCCGCCTTCACTACATGGAACATGACTTTCCAAGGAACTTCTCTTACCATCCCCATTTTGTTGTGGTTGCTCGGTCTCGTTGCCAAAATCATTCCGGCCACAGACCAGTCTCTGTTGACTGCCTGTGCTGCCACGCCAGTTGTTGCCTGTCAAGATAACTAGTCGGGTTCGAAGGGCTCAGAGACGCCCAAGTGGCCCGCGGCTGCTTAAGGATTGGGCGCTGATCAACAACCACTAACCAGTGCAAAACCTCTCCCCTGGGAAGCGGAGCCGGCAGGAAGCGTGGCTGCCACACCCTCACCGCGTTCCCCACATCCGCCTGCCCTCCATCTGACACCCATACTCAAGCCTACAGCGCACAGCCAGCAGCACCCATACCCCATACCCCATAACCCTACCTATACCAAGACCCTTCACGGTCCCCGGTTCAATTTACTTCATATCCACTCGTTCTTTGCGTCCCCGGTCTGTCGCGAAAACTATCTTTTCCCTGTCCAGATCTCCCTTTCGAAAATTTACAAAAAACTGAGATTGAACGCGGATCCAGGTCAGAAGCTTCACAACTCGGAGCCTGTGACAACAAATAAAGTGTGTCGGCAATACTTGGCAGGAAGCAACAAGCAAAGGATCGACGCACCTGCCAGGGCTGCACTGATCTACCATACTCGTCTTCCACGTCCTTTTCTACCTTCTCAGCTGTACGAGTCCACAACTACTCGCAGCCCACCGAAGTCACTCGTTTGTTAGACGATCGCGAACATGTCGTGCGCCTTGAGTTGAAAAGAATAAGGACGCTTTGGATAGTCACCGTACATATCTTTTCCACTTCAATCATGTCCCAGTGTCCACAACAAATAGAGACACGGAAAGACGATATTATCACATGCGGCATGGATCCAGCTCAGGTCTCAACACCACACAGTTCTCAAACCCTGCCTCTATCTGCATCATCCTCCGACACAACCTCGTCAGCCTCCTCGTTCTTTTCCAAGGGTCATCCCACCAGATCTGGGAGCAATGCGTCTTCGATTGCCTCTTCTCCGGCTGTGAGAGATTCTTTGGACATGTATAACTCTTCGAAAAGACATTTGACCGACGTGAAGGAGGAGCCACTCGAGCTGCAGGACGCCGAGATGATGGAGGCAGCGGGCAGCCAGTCTGGTAAGCTATCAAGTATGCATTGCATGCTTGCTCCGGCTGATCAGATGTCAGGAGATGAGCAGATAAATGCCACCGTCCAATCTCCAGCTCCCCTGTCAACAGCCAATCTACCCTCAGTAGCTCATTACGATTTCAACGAGAATGAGACGGCAGAATCTCCAATCTCTGCAGCTTCATCCTTCAAGAAACGGAGGTCTGGCGATTCTCCGGCATCTGTTGTCGCCAATCGAATTGGAACACGATTCCCCTCGTTTTCCAGACAGTGGAAGTCCAAAACTGGTGGGAGTCCAAAGCTGTCGATCATCACTCACACCGACACCACTCGTTCTCGAACAAACTCGGTCTCGTCGCAACTTGTCAGCCCTGCATTGAGCGTCATTTCAAAGCACGAGAGCCTCTTGTGTTCTTCGCCTGCGCAAGCTGGGCCAGAGGAAAGTTCGGCCGAGGCTGGTTCTGCGTTAGTCAACATTGAAGAAGCGAACGCATATTTTGGGCAGGATGAAGGACAAGCGACAACGCCCTTGCTGCCTCCAATCATGATGGACATCTCCCCGTTCAACATGCCTGTTCAGTCGCCTTTACAGTCACCCACTGTAGCTGAAACTCCGACGTCAACAGGCTGTGCAACACCATCTGGCACTCCGCAGTTGCCCTGTCTTCCTTCTCCCCCTTTGTCAACCAAGCCATCAATTGCCTCGATCCGTCAACGATCTCGAGCTGGCACGGTAGTACCCTCCTCAGAAATCCCACCCTTACAGATGCTTGGCGAGGGCGACGACGATCAGTGGTCGGTAAAGCTTGGGCATGCCAATTTCACAATTCATCCTGAGCCTTACCTACCAAAAGTCTTTGACATGGAGACATTCAAGCAGCTGCGTGAGAATTGGGATCAAGCTCGGCATAGCTACGCCAAGCACCTAGCGCGGACAGGGGAACATTATGGCACCACGTCCAAGACTTACCTGTTGACCGAGGAGAAATGGGCCTCGATTGATGCTACATGGCAGAAGAACACTGCCAAGATGACTGATGCCATTGGCCCTCTCATTGCTCGTTCTAGTAGCGGAGAGGCCGACGGTTCAGACTCGTCGTGCTCGACCAATGTTCTTGAACAACCTCCTTCCAGAGTCATTGTCCCCCGCATTAATGATGCCACGGGCAAGTTCCCTGACATGGGCGATGAAGACATTGTTGGGCCCATGGCCGTCGGTCCGTCAAGAGCTGCAACCATGCAACAATTGCTTGAGCCGACAGTGCAAAATCGCTTGTCCAAGAAAAGAAACTTTCTCAAGTTCTTCTCCGACTTTCTTGGCCGTGGAGTCGGTTCTGGTCTCCGCACGTAGGAAGCTTGCTACAAAGCGACCTCTTTTTTTCTAATTACTAACTGTACAGTCCTTTCGGAGCTAAATTTTTCCCTTGCACAAGGCGCACCTCATTCTGATACGGGTCATCAAAGGTTGACAAAAGGAGGCTAGCGCTACATTTATTGGACGAACGACGCCATTATGCGATTATGACTTGTACATGATCACGTCAGAAGAAAGCCTCACGGCAAGAATGGAAAGACCTTGTCAAAAGGGGCTTTTCGTTTCCTGCACCAACGGCTTCACCCACAGACGATACATATGATATAACGAGACACTCATTTGGCATTGGATACAAAGGTGCGAGCGAATGATGACTTCCGAAGCTCTTCAGCCCTGATACGTTTTTCATTTGTTATGTTCATGAGATCCTCCATGGCAGATGTCCCGGGGTGAGGAGGGGAACATGCATGGCGGCTTTTACCAATCAATCTCGTACTCACCCTCCAGGTGTATTATGACGAAGCTTGGTATCAGCGCAGTCAAAATCCGCATGGGAAGGAGAGAGCGATGTGGCCGTGGTATGGGTCACCAATAATAAAAGGATGTATACTATACTACTCATCATGTGCATGGCTTTTAGGTCTGCAGCACGGATGTCCATACGGGGACGCAACTTATCTGGTAAAACAGATCAAAATTTTCTAGATCCTAGATCCATCAGGTTAGAACTAGAGAATGAGGACATCAGTCGACATCCTAATTTATCAATATACTCTCTCCATACTCGTGATTTTCAACGAGAAACGCGGTAGACTTGAGAGAGTTCTCTGATTCAGCCTGTGATTATACCAAGTACCCCTTCGGGGTGCAGGGATGTCACGTGTACTTTCTACAATCAAGTTCCTCACCAAAATACGGCTCTCATTCAAACCGAAGAGTCTCCGACATGCAACTTTGCAATATCAATCATACATACATATCCAAATGACGTGGTCCCCAAAGGCGCTCTCTGCCTTCAGGGAGACGAAACAATTCAACTCGCAGGGCACTGACAGCACAAGCAGCACCGGCACTACCCGGGTTACGGGTAGCAGACGTCACAGCTGTCATGATGCGGGGAAAGGGTGGGCAGGGAGAAAATGCTAAGTTAATTGTAACTTCGGTTCTAAAAATGGGTCTCGGTTGAACGAACACCCCATCGAAAAACCGGTACCGTTCCATCCAGCCACATGATCAGATTTCAGCAAAAGGCTAGGCTAGGCTAGGCAGAGAGGTTGGTTTTTTTTCTTTTCTTTTTTTAAACTCGAGCGCGCTGCAAAACTACTGTATCAGACAAAATGTTAATTCTTCGCTACGCATGTAAGAAAGAGGGGGGAGGGGGGTTGGTTTGGTGGTACGTAGGTACGTCACATTCCGGAGATAGTCACTGTGGTTGTGGTTTAGTGTGTGTGTGTGTGTAATCTGGAACTCGCCTTCCCGTGTCGAGATCGAACTTCATAGCTAGTATCGACTAGATCAACACGTCCGGGACGGTGAACGGCACTCGGGGGCAACGCAACGCAACGCAACGCAACGCAACGCAACGTAACGCAACGCAACGGGCGGCAGGGAGTTCGGTTTCGAAACTTCGAGCACAGTGAGACTCGCTAACTAACTAACTAACCAACCTAATGTATTGGACATGTTTTTAATCTTCTACCATGTATGTGCGAAGGTGGATAGGTATGTATATAGCCTACAGAGAGTTTGGGGAGAGGGGAGGGCCGCGCGGTCCCTTTGGTCCAGGGCACAAAAAACATGGGTCTGGATCGATCCTACAAAACCATAAGGCTCGGCTTGGCAGGGAATTTCTTTCAGATTCGAGAATATCGCTTATGAGTCGGCCATCTGATCATTGACGAAATAGGTATGTGCGAGGGGTAGATGGGACATACTACACCGCTTAGAGAGGTTTATTGTGCTTCTAGAAGCGTTGTGGTATTGACTAGGCAGAACAGACGGTACATGCGCCTGCCATGCTCCGCTTTTTGCCCGCTCACTCTTGCTCTCGCTCTTGTTCTCGCTCTCGGCCTTACCCTTCCTCCTTTGCCTTCCCGCAATTTCGCCGTATGTGTATGCCGTGCTGCTTCATGTACAGAGACTGTTTGCTAGACTTGGACCACTCTCTGCCGGCGATTGTCAATTTACTTACTGGATGGGTTGATGGCGGGCTTTGTTCGGAGGTAGCCAGGGGGTGGCACAGGTTAGGTTGGTCAAGGGTGCGTGGTAGGGATTGAGGTCAGGGTCCAAGACGGGATTGTGGAGTCCAGTAAGAGGACTGTAGTAAAATGAGAATACTAGAATGGAGGCAAGTAGCAGACAAAGAGCACACAGGAAGGAGGTGGAGGAGGATTGTGTCAGGTACAGTAAAGGCAAGAGTGAGCAAGGCAGTGTGAATTTCTGGGGCATGCTAGGGAGATATGCCTATCGAAGAGGTAGAAAACTTTGATGCTGTGGGGTTTGTGGGGTTAGCTGCCTTCAAAGCATTTGTGGACATGACTGTGAGCATTGTGGAAGCTGTAAGCATATGTCGTACACTGTGGAGCGGGAGGTAAACCGTGAAATTGAGGATTGTCAGTGGGGACAATGCAAAATAGAATATGTCGTACCTGTGTTCGCTGTGGATTCTGTATCACCGTGAGACTAAATTAGAGGAGCAACTGATGTTGTGACATTTATGGGGTGCTGCGGGAAAGCTTTCAATGCTGCAACCCCGCGGAGGGCTGTCATGACAGGAGCGTAGTGTATGCGACCTGGATATAGTAGATGCCAAGTGTTGGGAAGCTGTCTTTCCGGTACTATCCTGCTTCTACCTGCCAATTCAGTCGTAGTAAGAACAATGTCAGTTCTAGGTAGCGATGTTGTGATCCGAACTGCAGAGGGAGGGAAACAACAGGGAGATGGAGACGTGAAACATAAAATGTAGATTATACTTTCTGACACATCATGTGATTCCGGATTTGAATGATACCTGCACATGGAACTGCGAACACGGTCTGTTGTGTGACATAGCAACCTGGCCCTGCGTTTGCGTGTTTCGAGACATTGAGAGCGCAACTGGGGCACTCCCGTGATTGCATAGGTCATACATGGTGATACTTAAAGACCCACATCAAGCCTTAATGAGGCTGCTGTCAATGGAGGCGTGCATGACAGGTCTGTCAGAAAAGAACGTGTACGCCTATTACCCACGAGCAGCAATGCAGAAGTGATGCAGGTTCGTTCGACAACGTTCCACATCCTCCCAACTCTTGTTATCCCCTTTGATTGGATGGGTTGGGTTGAAAATGTGGCCGACATATGCCAACTAGCAGCATGCTGCTGCCATGAATGTTGGATCTCTGTTGATAACACCAGGTCATGGCTTGAAACTGGTATAGGATGCGACGCCGAATTGCCACGAAAATACCGCCAATAGCTTTCGGATCTCCATAGTAAAACCGAAGGTAGGAAGGATGTAATCAGAGACACTGTATGAGATTGAGTTGCGGTTCGGGAGATCAAAGACATTGTAGAGGCCTTGACAAGGGGTTAGGAAGGTTTATTAGATTATAAACTCAAAAGTAAGGGGTCAGGTCAAACAATTCCTATCAAGGGACAGGGACGATCAATATGGCATAAATTAACCTCCAGCTAGGTTTGCTGAAATCCATGCCTGACGTTGAATGTCCGCACTTTCAGGACGGGCTTCCAACCTTTGTATGCAGAGCTGAATCCGAAGAACGCTGCGCACAAGTTTTGGTCTAACGTGATAGCTTCTACGTTGAAGCTGCCGTATGACGTCCTTCAAAGATACAATGCATTAGATATTGCGGGTTGGTGAGAATAAGGTCTCGAAGTTTAGCTGCCATATTCCTTTATGAACATAAAGAGATGGAAGGAGGGAGTGGTTGTGGAAAGAAGTGTGATCAATCTCTGGATTTCCATGTGTAAACCTGATGCCCAATGCTGCTCTGATTAAATTCTGGTGTATGGATAGACGGAGTGCGCCCCCAGACACGTCAGAGATTTGATGGGAGCATTTGAGGCACAGTCACACTCAACCGTGTGCTCCTCAGCTCTAACTACATTTCTCGGAGAAAATAGAGCCACAATCTCAGCCTCATACATCGCCAACAAATGCCCATTCTATTACGGAGTACTCCGTATACGTCCGAAATTCACACTGGGTCTGCTATTATTGAAATGTGACGATCTAATTTACTGTAGTAACTTAGTTCTGAACAAGGAAAAAAAGTTCTAATAACCTTCAATACGCCAGTAGCTGCAATGAAGAATATCAAAGATAGTCTTGAGCTTACTGCTCTGGCAAAGGAGCGTTATTAGACGACATATATCATCGTCCCATAAATCAAGTTCTTCTGGTTACATTTCGTTATTGGCACTCACCCGTCAATCGCTCGGGATACTTTAAACCCAGTGAAATTGGTCCCAGCTCAAAGCGGTTTCTCAGCATCAATTCGTTCTTGAGTCAACTCGCAATAACAGGATTTCAAAACCTGGCCAGGACTGCCTTAAGCATGGAGTCCTTAGAGTGTGCTGCTCGAAATCCACCAAGACATATGGGACTGGCAATTATCTATCAAGCGAGAAAGGACTCATTGCACATATTTGATAGATTGGAGCTGCTAGGCATGCGGCTATGTCGTGTCTTGCACAGATGCTTCGCAAGCCAAAGCAGAATAGCGGTCCCCGTCACACCGCGCAAAGGGCTCTGCACAAACATCAACCTTGGGACATCTTTGCTGCCTGGGAAGAACCCGATGAAGCACCATAATCTACATCCACTGCGTAATCGATATATGAGAATTTGATCCGGGTGCCCTATGGCTCTGGGGGTGACAATGGGAAAGAGAACCAACCCGGTCTTTCTCCTGGAAACAGCAGGTAGCCGCTAGGGGCTGTAAAAGTCTACCTTATGCTTCGTTGCCTGTTGCTAACACCATTTCGTGAGCTCCAGGTGAGTTGAGATATCCAGCATTGGAACATATCTGGTCCAAATGTATATTTCGCAATGGTATGCAAACAATTTGCCTGACGTACCGGATCCCATGAGATATATCCCAAAGTGTATAGTGGCCTGATCGTGTAAATCACGTTGGTTGACACAGTCGTAAAACAGCAGAAATGCAGGATCACCTGAACCAATAGAGTTTATGTTCGGTCAATAAAGGACCTCCGGGCTGGTGTAGTGCGTTCTTGCATATAGGTAATGTATGTACAGTCTTTGTAATGTCGCACATTCTCGTCGAAGGCATGCATGTATCCACCGCGACTTGATCCACAAGTTTGCACTCTAGTGCGATTTTTTGGCCGACGCAGCGACTTGCTTTCTCTTCGGTACAAACATCTCCTCCAGGTCGTCTCGTTCTTGGTTCTCTGCTTCAATCTCGGTGATGATGGGGCCCAGATATGCGATATCCTACGACGTTGTCAGACTGTATACGCGAATGAGAAATGCACTTGGAGGGAAGACCCTACCTCTTCTGGCTTTGTATGCTCCTCGGGTGGTAGCAACTGATGTGACAGCGATGCCTATGGTATCCAACGTCAGACATCCATCTATCTTTCCCCCGGCAACTGTAGAGCTACCTGGAAGGCTCGCCTGAGCCTGAAGACACGATCGTAGGCTTCCTTGGGTGGCAATCGCTTCAAGGCCAGCTGGACAGTGTCATTCTCTTCAGGAATCAGGTCGTCGGCTCTATATGTCATCAGCCACAAGATGGCGATCGAGCTTGGTCGGCATCCAGGGTATCTCACCTCAACCCAAGTTTTCGGTAGCCCTGCGCACTAGCATACCAGTTTGCGAAGGGCACCATCCATCGCTTCAGCCACGGCCGCGATCTAATGAAGGGGGCAAGGCTCGGTTGGGACATATTGGTGAATAGTGGTGAGTGGAAGGCTGGCTCATGTTATGGAGAGTCCAGTTTAGGAGCTTTGATTTAGAGTTAGGTGCAGTGGTGAGGTTGGCATCTCTTGGCGTCTACATGCAACAATCTTTGCGGCGAGCTCACTTTCCTAATTCTTTAGACTAGATATCTTCTCTCGTCATTATCCCTGCGGTAATTACTAAATTCGGTTTAGATTATTGGCTCTAGAACGCACGTTTTGGCCACGCTGCCTGCTATGATTTCGCAACATAATGCTAAGAGTTCAGAAATCCTCTTTTTACCCCGACTCACCGCTCACCACACTCCTGCGCTAGTCACGTGACGCTCAGAGCGGGCATGCCAGGTCAAATTCAAAGTACTTGTAGGTATTATTAGTCACACAGAGAAGGTCTCGTAGGGACTCTTCAGTTCGATTTAAGATCTTAATTCTTTGAAACTGTGCGTTAGGATACTCTGCTGCGAATCTTTTGGATTACTACGTACTCTGCGAGGTCCCGTGCCGTCATCCTTGCCTCGCGCGATCGAAGGCTAAACGTTGCTAGAGACATCACATTGACGATGGTTGAGATACGTTCGAAACCTATCCAGCTTGTCTTAGTATTGCACACTGCCATGGACTACGTATATTGTCAGGGCGCCGGTACAGGTGTGGTGCAGCAAACTGGATGTGCAACCAGAGGCATCATCCAAAATCAACTAATTCCGGGCCAAGAGCGCAAATACAGTGTTACACGCGAGAATCTTGTCGTCGAGCAAATCAAGACGGTTGAAAGAGCTCAGATGCTCGCTCTTGTATATGCACTGGGTTTGGCTCACGGAACAATTAAACGAGATTGTCCGAAAGTCTTTCAATTGCAAAAAGGCACGATCTTTTCTGAGTCGCCGAAGGTCGTCCAGACCATCAAGCATCACATTAAATACGCTCCCGATAGTCTTGGGGACGTAACAAGCACTAATGACCGCTCAATCATCAAAAGAGTCATTGCTGGAGTCCATAGACTATCACGCCGTGGCCTCGAAGTTGCCATAGCTATCTCTAGCGAAAAGGCCAAAGCAGGGAAAAAGGCAAGGAAAATGGCGAGACAAAGGGGCCGTAAAGCTTGTAGAAGCCGTCATCGGCTTCGGTTGGCTCATACTAATTTGGTCGAAGAGCAGGAGGAAGCTACGGGAGATCAAGGGACTTTCGAGCTTGTTACTCGGGCGAAGGTATTCCCAAGCACATGGAGCATGAACAAGCCACAATGTACAATGAGTAATACAACTCTTAGTATTCCATTGTGCTACAAGCTTCAATTACACCCTCGCTATCCAAACCTAAGTTGAGACCAGAACTTAACAATATGTACACGACCAGATACGATGAGACCAAAATGGCACAATCACGTCGCTTGTCGCCGATCATCCTCTGATTCTCCCCTCCCAGTCCGACAACAAATCCGTTGTTAGCCTCTGAATCTTTGCGTCTTCTACCTGGGACTTGACATGAGCCGGACATGTGACTCACAAGAAGCTAGCTCAACAGGACGATGAGAGTAAGGCCTGCATCTACACGCCGCTCGGGTATTAGGCAACAAGTTGGGAAATGCTGAAGCCTCGCACGAGGTGCGATCGATGTCGGCTCGGGCAACCTGCGAGAAGTGCCTTTACTTTTGTCAGTCGTCACTGAGTGAGCGTGGTTGAGGGAAACTGCAAAGCAGAAAGAACCCGACCATCCAATCCCCTTCCAGTGCCGATTGTTAGGGACTCGAACCCTTGCACAATAAAACGTCCCCTATTGCTGCACCTGCTACTCACTATTGCCTTTGGGGTACACTCGCTTGGAGGTAGGACGGTCCATCTTGTTATATCTGGTCTTAAATACCATCGTACAAGCTGGCGAATCATCAAAGGCAGTGATCATGCGTTGTTGCATGTGCCGGGGCCAGTGGAAGCACGAAGAGGGTGGATGGTGGAAGCTCTGAGGGCGATGGAAGCACTGAAGATGGTGAAAGCATCAAGGGCGATGGAAGAATCGAAGATGAAAGCACTGAAGATGTTGGACACAATCTGTGAGACGATGGAGGGATGAGGAAACGACAGAGGGCAAGCGTTATCGATGGGCAAAAGGACAGCAATGCAGGAGAGGGAAGGAGGGCTATTCAGGTCGACTTGGGAGCAAACAACAGCTGTGGTTGGAAGGAACAACAGTTTTGAAGTGGCACTCCGATCCTGTGGGAGGGAAGAAATGGAAACTATAAGATCGGTCTCTAACGATGAGACGAGATTCTCACAGGGCCACACATTTGACTGAGAACGAGAGGTCTCACTATTTCCATCCACATGACGAGCGTATGGCTCCGAGGTGATCAGGAGGGTGCAAGGCTGTTTTAAGCCTGAGCATGCCTGAGCATCAACTATCAGAACTCTGCACGTCCGATAAGCGAAAAGAAGTAAAAAAAAAGTTGGAATGTGTGGAATGTGTTGATTCTATCTGCTCATTTGGCGCCTTTTATGCATCGATTCCTCCGATCCTTAGCGCATGCTGCCCGTCTGGCAGACGCATGACTTGTGGTTTAGCGGATGTATTTGAATTGAGGTAGAGTGCGTAAGGGTAACTTGAGGATCCTAAGAATGATTACTTGTTTTGAAAAGGCATCATTAGCAGCAACAGATAAAGTAATGTTTGATGATAGCAGAGAGAAGCTGTAAAGGTTAAAGGAGATGACTTCTGTTTGACGGCGTACGCAGACAACTTCTTATGGCTGTCCCTTCGCAATTGTCCTTCGACAATCATCTCGTGATGGCTCAGCCGAACAGTGGGAAGTAACAGTGCTTTAGCGTATACTCCGTACTCCGCAGTCGTCTTTTAGCTTGAGCTACTACGGTTCCAGGCATAAATGTTGTTAGCACAGCGCTAATGAAATTGCACTTGGACACCATACTACTTGAAAGGTCCACCTTCAACCATTGTCACCCTGAAATGGTTAAGATTTCTCTGAGTAGGCTAGGTTTTTGTATCTAAACGGGCCACTACATGAAGGGTTATTTTACAAATTGTAAAGAGCATTCAATCTTTCTCAATATCCCCTGCTCCTATCTGGCCTTTCCTTTCCGGAGTCTTCGGCCGGGTTAACCCGAGCAAGTATGTCACATCACGTGACCATGAAGTTGACCGTGGAAGGTGAAATTTGCTACACCTCATTTGCAACCTCTTCAAACCATCCTCAAACCCGAGTATCATCCTGGAAACCGTCATTGGCTCCTAGCAGGTTATTACGCGGAACAGGAAAACCGACACTGGTCCCAGCGTCTTCCACAGCGATAACAGAATTGCATCCCGCAGCGACATGTCATATGCCGACAGCCACTTGCCTTTTCGACCATGTTCCGACAAGTTGGACATTCTCTCCAGCCTCGAGCTGTGGCCAGAGCACGCGCTTCTTGTGTTGCAGTATCGGCGGGACACTCGATGCCTGGATGATACGGGCCCCGGCAATGTCGACATGTATTGTTGAAACACGAGGAACATTCCACAAGATCCGGGCCGTCCGCATTTGCTGGTGGGAGGAAGGCTCCACATGTTGGGCTAGAGCAGTATATTGGGTTTGGTGTTGACAGCTCCAGGACTAATAGACCATATCTGACACGGAATTCGGGCGATAGGAGATCCGCTGAGAGCTCGACCGGTACATCCCGACGACAACATTGAAAGGGTTTTCTGGAACCGAAAGCGGCTTCAAAACTGTCTGTCATGTGTCATGGATTAGACGCAATCTCATGACTGAGACAACTTACCGCGGAGATGGGTTCGACAGTACCAGTGGGTGCAGGGTACTTCAACCATCACACCCATATCAAATTCTTCTAAGCAGACTGCACATTCTCTTAGCCTCTCGCGTCTTACCCTCTCCACCTCCTCCGCCTCCAATCTTCTTCGTTCTGCTGCTTCTGCTAATATTGCTCTCTGCCGAGCTCGCTGGTCTTCTTGCAACCTGAGAAATCTCTCCCTTTCTTCAGCCCTGAGCCTTTCTCGCTCTTCTCTTGCAAGTCTTAATAGCTCATTGTGTTGTTCTTCCCGTAATCTACGTTCTCTACTTATATCTGCAAACCAACTTTCTTGAGCTGTCCGGGAAAGTCTTGCCTGCTCCTCCAGATGTTGGCTGTACTCTGCGGCCCAGTTAATCCTCTCTCTGTCCGGCTTGGTAATTCTTCCGCTGCTCGTGGAATGGCCAGACTCTCTTTTAGGTTCGGTTGGACGCTGTACGATACTAAGTCTCTGGGTTGTTCGCCGAGCATTCTGGTGTGGAAGAGAGGCACGGCCAGGAGTCGCAGGAATCATGGCCAACCAGAGAAGCAACCCTGATTACATGCCCACAATACAATGCTTATTGCGCTATTTTAATAATGTCTTAAGCACTTTGCATCGGTTGAGCCAAAAATTCGCAGTCTGACGGAAAGCTGTTGCCGGCCAGTGTGGTGCCTGCTGACTTAGGAACATCAAAGTGGAGTCAATCCAACTTACAGCCTTATCCAACAAATATCTTGAAGGACGTCAGACTTAAGTTGAACCTCGTGTAAAACCCCACCCTGGTAAGGCCCCACACCTGCAATTTCGGGTCTGTTTTCTTTCTCATTGAACATATGTGGTAACTACTCTAGAACGCGCCAAATTATAATGGTAGACTGAATGATATATTATTTAACCTCATCAGCCAGTCAACCTATCTCTACAGTTCAGGAGAGATAATCCCACTGTGATCATAGCCGCGCCTGACGCCATAGGGCCTTTATTTACAGTTGATTAGTTACGTAATGTTTATTGGAATCAATTACAGTCTTTCTAGTTTACTTATTACATATTGATTTTATTATACCTTATTAAATGATAAATTTTACTGTAAAAGTAAGTTCTCCTAACTTAATAAGGTTTTCCTTAATTCAATTCCATAGCCCTAAGGTCTCGAAACTGAACTATTATCAAAACAACTTGTAAGGATCTTTATCTGATTCAAATGCTAAATGACTCAGGAAGCAAACAACGCTTACATCACTTTGCGCCCAATCCATTGAGCTTGGTGGCGGGTTCCTATTAGCGAGATGATAGCTGTTGAAAAGCGCGAGCATCCTCTTTTATTAGGCCACCGTCCAGTCTTTGTGCTGTGTATGCCAAGATACCCCACTGACTTTCTCCCGCAGCCCGTAGAGAAGTAACTGATTCGTCTGTAAGAGAGTCCAGCATCGACTGAATCACACATTCGTGTGAGGACGTCATTGATCGGAGATTCGCAGAGTACTAATGGAGAAGGCATAAATATTGGTGGGTTGGCTTACGTAGTAAGATTTACCACAGTGTTGTGATTCGTTATTGCGAAGCTTAACCTGGATCCATCCATTCGCATTGGTCAAACGATTGTTGTTAGTCCCTTCTGGGTTTAGATGTTCTGTGTATAGAGCGTTGCCGAGAAAAAGATACTAGCGCTGAACTTACAATATGTTGGACCAAAAGGACCGCGGGTCACGGACGACCAAAGGACAGGCTACAGCTGAGACACTATACTTCATGTCTCCCTGGTAATAATGCGCTCTATACGAGGGCTAGGTGGGTCCGCCTTAATCGAATCCAGCGATTGGGTGATACACAACATCGTTGTGCGAATTCAAGTTCCTAATGGCCAAGGCATCTCATGGATCTGGCGTGACATTGGTGTAAGCTGCAGGCTAAAACATCTCATGTTGCCTTGAAGTCTTGTTACGGAACTGATTTACATTTCCTCGCTGCATTAATGCCTGATGTCGGGGCACGGGCGATAAGGCTACGCAACGCTATGCAAGGCTGGCGGCTCCCCACCTGCTGCTGCTGAATATAGCTGGGGAGATGCTGTGAACATTCCTGCAACTCGCTTACAGGTTGTTGGGACTTGACTTAATCATAACGTGTGTGTCGCCAGCGGAGATGAACATCAAGATCTCTGTCGATGGACAACATGGGGCGCTCATTGCCCGCAGCGACGCCTTTAGCCCTGTCGAACCAAATAATTCGCTGGCTTTGGTGAGGGTACGTGAGTCTATCATGAACCACGATTCCATGATTCTCTCGGTGACTGTTATGGTTGGACCGTCATCGCTAACATATATCTTTCTTGTGGGATCGTAGCAGGACCAGGGGAGCAACGGAGCGCACGGGGCCGATGCCGCTCCACCAGTTCCAGGCTCCCCAGCTGGATTTCTGGCCGTTGAAGTCACAGAGTCCAAAGAGACTCAGGGAGGAATTCGTGTGAATGTAATGGAATCCGCGGGGATGGAAAAGCCACCTGCTTCCGTCGAAATCCCAATACGACAGGACGTCCTGTTCACAGCCATTGGTGGTGATGGAGAGCCGGGTAGAACAGGCGGCGATGGCCAGAATGGTATGGATGGCACGGATGGTGCCATTGCTACTCGTACATCAAACGCTACTGTACGCTTTTCAAACCCAATTTTGTTTCGCAAAAATAATTCGGTTGGGGGAATTGAGATCAACACTGACAAGGCTAACAATTCCACAGCCAGGCAACGATGGTGGCAGTGGTGGTAAGTACGTTGCATCCAAGCCTCGGCCTCCATGATGTTTTCATGGGGAAAGACGGAACGTCTGGTATTGACGAGTTGCTGATTTGAAATTACAGTGCAGGGCGAGGTACAAATGGTGGCGACGGCGGGGATGGGGGCACAATCAATGTGTTCCTAGATGAAGATGAAACCCATCTCCTCCTTGCCTGCTCTTGGGATACACGGCGTGGCAAAGGTGGTCCTGCTGGCCGCCATGGCAACCCTGGCCGCGGAGGTCGAGGAGGACGTGGAGGTGCAGGCTGCACATGGTCGGTTGCCCTTCAGTCCTCAACGCACTTCCTGCTGAGACCTCACCTAGGACTGAACTTGTGGGTTACAATTACTACTGTACAGCCAATTGTGTTGGCAGGAGATCGGAACCTTCTGCGTCGAGAGCTCTCGTTACCACTGGGTCTCGAGCTGGGATTGGAACGTATGTCCCTGTCCACCCTCCCATTATCGTCTAGTAACATAGACGCCTGCCTAGCATGGCGTTGATGGCCAACCCCAGAGCTCATGTCGTTGACGGCGGGAATATGCAAGCCATGATTGCTCGAGTAGCTCAACAATATGGAGCTTCTAGACATCGCCAAATTGATCCGGGGAATTGTCGCTGCGCAAATGGACAAGGGAACTGTATGGGCTGCGGCGCTACAGAAGTGTACGAGAAATTCCAGATGCTTCCTGCCTGCGATGGAAAGGATGGCCAACCTGGTGCCATCATCGCAGATTCTCTTTTCCCTGGGACAGATGGCCGTGATGGTAAGACCACCATATATGTACGGCATGCCGATGGCACTCGCCATGAGTATAGCACACGGTACAAACTCGAGCTTGTTGATTTCGATGTTGAGGACGAGAATGGAGATGGTATCTTTGAGCCCGGAGAACATCTTTTTATACGACGCATAAGGGTCAAAAATACTGGTATGCCATCTGCTAAAGATCACGGCCCTTCATCGGTCCGACTGACAATGATCTCCTACAGGTGGTATGCCTTCACCAACTTGTCCTATCCCGATTACAGCGGTCGCATCCAGGTGGCTCGCCCCAGTTGCAGGGGATGCAGGCCGGACATTCCTTCCGAGCTCCATTGCTGTCCAGGAATTGGTCACCCTCGAAGGATGCATCAAAGTGTTAATCCGCAGAGATGAGCACCCACCGGCTTGTGGGAGCGTTTTCTTTCAACAAGATTTATTGTCTATAATTGCAACGATGCCATGGCTCGATCGGTCTTTACCTTACTTCTCATTCAGGAGGGCTGTTGACATTCAGTATCCCTGTGAGCTGAGAAACTTCGAGACCCTTGCCAGTCTAGCTCAGGGATCCACAAACAAGATAGCATGGGAGGTAAGATCTTTCTTCAGGACATATAAATGCGTTACTAAGAAAGACAATGCTAGGTGTTCAACAAGAGCAATAAGACGTTAGGGCACACGGCGCCGTCGCCGAGGTGTATCGAAGTGGACGCCTCTTTCCCTGCCGACTATGGCGCGCTCCTTTCCTCAACAGAAACATGGTCGGACGAGGTAGGGCAAGCAGTGGCATCGATATCTGCGAGAGAAGCTAGTCACCTCGAGCAAGTACTGCGTATCTCACCAGATGCACAGAGCTATCAACACGTTGTTTTCCAACTCAGCCTCTACATATCAGATCCCCATCAGGAACCCTCGGACGAGGCCCACACTCGGGACAAAGTCAGTCTCATACAACAAAAGGATATCACAATCCAAATTTCCAGCCATTACTTGCATAGCTCCAATTCGAGTTTCCTATTGGTGACAAACTCGGAAACCACAAGACATCGCGCAGAAGCCATGCAGGCCTTTATCCACAATGAGTTGAGTATGGAAATAGATCTCTGGAACGTGGATCTGTACGGTGGACTTCAAGATCGCGCCGAGGAAAACAGAACAAGAGAGTCAGTGCTGACAAGCTACGAAGGAAAGACCCTCCTCTTTCTCGGCGACCAGTTCCAATTCTTCCGCGCTGGTCAGCGCCAAATCACGCAACTGTGCGATCCAAGATGCCTTGCACAAGCCGCATTGCGTGAAACATCCTGCCTATTTCTTGGTTCTTCGGGTCACCAGGGCTTCGAGTCACTTACCAAGGCCCTTATTAGTCCTCCCTCGTGTCGTGTATCCGAGATAGAGCAGCATATTCAGGCGTCTAGCAGATTCCTCAACGTGGAAGAGATGACCTTGTCAATTTGCCAGGAGAGAGTTCTAGGATCTTCAAACCTTACAACTTACGTCATGCCTGTCCAAAGTAGATGGTACAGGCTAGGTAAGGCCAGCCCCTGGTCTGAAGCCAAAAAGGCCGTCAAATATCTGCGCAACCATCTTCCACAAGAACGCTTCTTGGTCAGCATTATCTCTCCCGTCACCACCGACACAATAAAACACGAGTCGAGCTCCCAGCCTTTTCAGGAGAAACGAAACTTCAAGAACTTTCTGTCGAAGAAAAAGTCAAATGCGGATTGGGGATCAATCTGTGTGCTGCAAGGTGTTTCGCATCGGGCCTCGCTTGTTGCAACTGAGGCTCAACCCTTGCAACAAGTCCAAACCTCGTCCCCAGCGCGGCAGTCAGCTGCTGGAAGAAATAGGATCTTGCATTCACACGCGGCTTCGCTCCTCAACCCGTTCGAAAAATTCATGATAGTCTCTTCCCTACCTAATCACAAGCGTGTAGATATCGTCTGGTCCCAATCCACCGCCGAAAATACTTCCCAACCACGACACTCCCAATTCATCGTCGATGCTGCAGGCCTTTCCATTCTGTCAAAGATCAGTACAGAGATCAGTGTGCTCCTTCACAAGGCACCCTGGCCAGACACCATAACCTTCCCGAGCCGAAACGCGCCACAGGACAAAACATTTCAGATCCTGGATCTCCATCTCCCGACACTGTCCAGCCTGCTACAGCATCCCCACGCAAAAACAGTCGCGGTAACAATTCCCAGCTGCATCCTCGATATACTGCACTTCACTCTAGCCTGCACAAAACCACAAAAGAAACGCCACGTCGTCAGGTCGGCTCTCCTTCCAACCTCCCAGCGACGCCGAAATCTCCACACTTTCTTGCAGCAGACATTCTCCACCCTCTTGAGCGGCCACGAGTCCCACGCCTCACCCGAAGCACTGGAAGAATTTCACAAGAACACGAAGTCCTGCCATTCTCGATTTAAGGCTAACAAGCGGAATACCTCTGTGCTTATCATACGCCGGGCGGCAGAGTTGGTGGGAAAGTCTGAACATGCATTCAAGGCTGGGCAGAAGTCGGGATCTGATGTCGTCCCCGTAAATCAATTGCTCAATCAGAGAGAGTGGGATGCCCGCGTCGAAAATATCGACCAAATGGTGGCCAGAGTGGAACAGGAGAGTGCGGATGCGAGAACTGTGTTGGATAGGATGATTTTGGCACCTTGACGATCAGACAGCGGTGAGGCCATCGAAATCAGTGTTCAGCCTGGACAAAGCGGTTCTGGCCTTCTGACCAGAACCATCGAACGGGACTTGGAGGGTGAACATCAACATGGGATAGGCCACGGCCTAGGTAGGGAAATTTGTGCTGTGATGGCCGAGCTACGTGCGGCATCGGGAGAAAGGGTGGCGCTGGAGTTGAGATGAAATGAAACAACAGAAAGGTTATTGAAATCTAATCTGACTCCGGCGCTTTTTCACTCAACATCTATTCATTGCGAACTGCTTCCTATTTCCTGTGGCACTCCAAGCTTGGGCTGATCTATTGTGCTATCCAATGATCACCTTGGACTGCGACTTTGTTAGTTCACATCACCAATCATACACCTTCGTACTTGATATGATATCAATGAAGCTCACATCAAATTTGATGCACAATTTTTGTCCATCCGACCCAAGTAGCGTTTGCCCCCTTTCAACCTCTGAGAAAAACCGATGCCACCGTCCCGTCTTGGAAACCATAGCCAGCTCTGGGACTTGTCTAGACACGAAAAAACTCACCTACGTCAATAAGTCTTGTCATTTAGTCCGTGCAAGTCAATTAGTAGGAGTAAAAAAGTTAATTGATATTTTGCTTTCATCTTTTCTCATGAAAGAGAAGATCTGAGACACTATGTAGGGTTATGACAACCCGCCACCTTTTCCTGCAATTCAAGCTTTACATTATATGCCATCCAGTAAAGAAGTAAGAAAGGATAAGAAGGAGCGAACAAGATAAAGGAAGTTGTTAAGGACAGGGTCGCAAGGCTCACGAATATTAGCCTCCGAAGTCAGTTTTATTGAGAGAGCGCATTCGGGACCCATTCGAGGGCCATGCACAGGGCACGTCACATAACACATGACATCAACGCCAGTGCAGATATATATATCTGTCCCTATTCTAGATAGAATCTATAATCTCTCTGGTGTTAGGCATGCCGAGCGGTGCAGGATGTATGAGATGGTTATGAACCTTACGTGGGAATTCCTGTGGAATTCCATCGGTAATCTAGTCTTTTGCCCCACGTCAAAGCGTGCGGGGGAATGTACGGTTCATCGTCCTGACATCTGGCCACGCCATGGCAACACAAGTACCGCTTCTGCCCTGTCTACTTCCAACAAGTTTGATAATATTGCTACCGTATTAGGTGCAGGCCCAGCCTACTTAGTCCTTTATAGCGGATGCGGGTGCGCCGGGACTTATTCCTATTGGACTTTGTGCAAAGTTCGATGGTGCCAAAGGCGATCTTCCAAGGATTAGAAACATAAGGCTCGTCTCAAAAACCAAGAATTAAGTATATATGAATGCAAACGAATTAAGAAGAATAGCTTAGTTAAGATATATGATCATTTAAGACCTAATTAGTAGGTTTAAATCTGCAGCTTTATTAGATTATTGTAAAATATAAAGACTAGTAGTAGTAATATGCAACTAGGTATAGACCCCCACCTCAGCTAGGGTACTAGGCAGATTCCTGTTATCTTGGCATACAATTAAGCTCTCCATTTCGACCTCCGACTTTTACCAAACAACCCACCTCGAATGAATACTATGATCACTGTTGAGACAGCAATTGGCGAGCACCCTTCAATGACCCAGTCTCTGGAGAATTTGCAATACCAGTACCACTTCATGGACCTTATCAATCGTTGAAACATCCTCATCAGTGCTGCCGGGTCTTTCGACCCCGCACACTGTGACGAGGGATTGGAAACACAACACCAAGGATATCGATCTCGCGCAAGCAGATGGCCAGACAAACACCTGGTAGAGAGAGCTCTTCGCCGAAAACACATTGCACAATACTCTAGTACTTCGCCCAAGTAATGTCCCTTAATTCAAGTACTTCCACACCACCACCTGCTACTATTCCCCAGTATGCTTCGGCCACCGAACCCCCTTCGACATCCGAAAACTTCAATACGATGCCTTCTCAAAAACCTCCTCTTTTATCGCCAATCTCTCACCTTCAGATATATTCAGCACAAATTCCGGCGGCGTATATCACTCCGGTGTGCGGGGCAGGCGCCGGAATCGCATCGGGGATTGTTACATGCCCTCTTGACGTTATAAAAACAAAACTGCAGGCCCAGGGTGGGTTTGCACAGAGGAAGAATGGAAGGATATCGCCTTCCTCCTCTGCGTATTCGGGAATGATTGGAACTGCAAAGGTCATCTGGCGGCATGAAGGGTTGCGGGGTTTATACAGAGGACTTAACCCAATGTTGCTGGGGTATCTACCCACCTGGGCCGTCTACCTCACAGTCTACGAGAAGTCGAGGGAGTTCTACGAGACTCAATTCAGTACGTGAGCTATTCTCCTGGGCAGGACGAATGCTGATTCATGTCACAGATAGTTGGTGGGCAAGCCGGTGCTACTCTTCATTGACAGCTGGTGCTTGTTCCACAATGTTGACAAATCCCATATGGGTAATCAAAACGAGGTTAATGTCGCAAAGTAACAGGGGCGCAACTGATGGCTTTCGAGCACCATGGCATTACACATCGACCACAGATGCTGCAAGAAAGATGTATCGCAGCGAAGGACTACGCGCTTTCTATTCGGGGCTGACTCCCGCATTGTTAGGCCTGACGCATGTTGCCGTCCAATTCCCTTTATATGAATATTTCAAGATGAAGTTCACAGGTTATGGAATTGGCGAGCATCCCGAGCATGATGGTGGCTCGCACTGGGTTGGGATATCTGCTGCAACTTTCCTAAGCAAAGTATGTGCGAGCACAGCGACATACCCTCATGAAGTCTTGCGAACGAGGTTGCAAACGCAGACAAGGCTTTCAAGACCGGGACACTCGCCAGAAGGAATCTCGTACCGGGGAGGCGATATTCATCCCTCAGATATGGGAAGGCCTCCGGGCCTCTCATCTTCGGACGGCATGCCAACTAGACCACGGTATCATGGCGTGCTCAAGACCTTTCAAGTTATTCTGCACGAGGAAGGATGGAGAGCGTTCTATGCAGGTATTGGGACAAATCTTGTACGGGCGGTGCCGGCTGCTATGACAACGATGTTGACCTATGAGTGGTTGAAGAAGATCATTGGTCATTTGAGAGAAGAAGGGTTCAAACAGCTGGAGCCAAAGGACGCTTACCCTTCGTCGACCTTGCAATAGCCATCATTGTGGTCAGTACGGGATCTCTGTCCGGCGTTGCTTGGCGATACTGGTGCATGCACATCTTGTTGACCATTGGGCTTTGAGTTACGGTTGACTGTTAGGGATACAGTATTCATCGCATGCCCTGACGTGGCAAAGGTGTATCCATTTATCCAGGACGGCTAGATCCGAGGGAGCCAGCGAGCTCATTGGGCATGAAACCAAGGAATAGATTTTTCAGTTAAAATTGCATAGGCACAACAATTGAAATCCTCCGGATAATCGATGGAACCATAGAATCCTCCCTAGGTATTAATAGTAGTGGTTGATGTTCGTGCATGAATGCTTTCGGCCTATCTTCGGCCTATCTTCGGGTGCAACTGTACCTGTTCATGAAGCTCTCACGTAACGTAGTAGCGTTATGCATTACTTTAATTTTGCCCCATGCATAATCTTTCAACCACTACTCCGTATCACAAACACTACACCAGACATCTCCATGCGCCTCTATTGTCATCCCAGACAAGCAGAATTCTGTCAGAAAGGACTAGGAGAGACATAGTCTCCGATTCCATGACTCGGTAGCCTGTCCACCTGCGAATGCGTTTACAAGTCTTGTGGCGCAACTCTGCGTTGAAGTCTTTACAATGTTCACGACCCATTATCCTTGACGCCCAGCGAAGAGCTTTCAGCATCCCGGAGCAGCCGAGAAGGATCTTTCAAAAGAAGCGAAAAAGAAGAGTTGTCCAGCTTGCAGCAGGAGGAGGAACATTACTTGCATCGGCTGCCTTCCTCTCTGATGAGATTAAGCATGGATACCATGCTACGGAGCGGTCAGCCAGGGTAATGTCTACACTGGCTGTGTGTGTTAACGAGTATGTGCGTGACCTCCTCGTTCGGCGGATGTGAACTTACAGGGTCGCCATAGCTATCGTAAGACACTTAAGCTGCAACGCGACGATCCTAACGAGGAATCTTTGCTTCTGAAGGCATGTCATAAACGCTGTGCAGAACGAACCTTGAAGGTTCTGGAGAAGAATGGCTCTATATTTATCAAGCTCGGGCAGCACCTCTCTAGCATGGGCTACCTACTTCCGTTAGAATGGACCACAACCTTCGTACCACTCCAGGACAAGTGTCCAGTGTCGTCTTATGAGTCAATCCAAGAGTTGTTCGTCGAGGACACCGGACATAGGATAGAAGACGAATTCGAGACGTTTACTGATCTTCCGATTGGTGCTGCATCACTTGCTCAGGTGCACGTCGCAACGCTAAAAGACACGCACCAGAAAGTTGCAGTAAAAGTGCAACACCCAGCACTAAAAGAATGGGTGCCGCTGGACCTGGCTCTGACTCGATTGACGTTCGCAACCGTGAGACGGTTCTTTCCGGACTACGATCTTTCTTGGCTTTCAGATGAAATGGAGTCGTCGTTACCACAGGAGTTGGACTTTGCCCTAGAAGGTCAGAATGCTATGAACGCGAGCAGATTTTTTGAGAAGAACACCAAAGTTCCGCTTATCATCCCAGAGGTAATCTCAGCCAGTAAGAGGATACTGGTCATGAGCTACATCACAGGTGCTCGCCCAGATAACCTTGAATATCTCGACTCACACCACATCTCGAGGGACGAGGTCTCTGCCACCCTCGCTCGCATTTTCAACGCCATGATATTTACTCCTGGTGCCCCGTTGCATTGCGACCCACACGGAGGTAACATAGCTATTCGACATAATACTTCACGGCGGCAGCCTTACAACTTCGACATCATCCTTTATGATCACGGCCTGTACCGCACCATACCAGAAAAGCTCCGCGTTGATTATGCCAAGCTCTGGCTCGCAGTCATCGATGCAGATGAACCGAACATGCGCAGATACGCCTACGAAGTAGCTGGCATCACAGATGCGCAATTTCCGCTCTTCGCCTCAGCTATCACAGGCCGAGACTACAGCGTCCTTACGCACCAGGGGGTTTCTACAACCGCTCGCGACAACTCTGAGAAGCAAGCCATATCCGCAGGGTTCGGCGAATACTTGTTGCAGCAACTTGTCCAGCTGCTCGGGAAAGTGCCAAGGATAATTCTGTTAATTCTCAAGACAAATGACCTTACTCGAAGTCTCGATGAAGGGCTACAGACTAGTCAAGGTCCTGTGCGCACATTCCTGATCCTGGCAAAGTACGCATCGAGGGCGGTTTGGGAGGAGCAGAAACAAAAGCTTCGGAGTCGGAGGGACTGGTATATGCCCGCAAACGCTTTGGCATTGATCAGTGCTTTTACAGGCTTTGTCAGGGTGGAGATGAAACTCTTCTTCTACGAGAGATACCTAGCGATCAGGCGGCACTTGCACATGGACTGAAGCAAACAAGCGGACGGTACATATTGTAGTTTATCAGCGTGTGCGTTTCGAGACATTACCTTGGTGCCTCTTTTCATCTTCTGGAAGGTATTTGGATTGTTTGACCACACATGCATCCAAGCCATATACATGTCCAAGCTACACTGATCGCAGATCTTGCCGATAGCGAACGTAGCCCTTTGAAACCTTCATTATTCTTCCGTTCATGATTCCTCCAACTATGTCTTTTAAATATGTTTCTGTACGGAGTACACTGCAGTAAAGGCGCCAGAGGGTAAGGCCATCATTCTGCACTGGAAACAGGGATTCTATCTTTGCTTCGGAGTTTGCACATCAGAAGATGCGTTGCGTCTCTGAGTTCAAAATGACGATTAGACAAGCTGGAAGTCAGAAGCTGATTCTTATCTTTACTGATATTGGGTTTGTGTTCTAGCACCCTCGGTGGGTACTCCATACGTCGATGGAGAATGTTCTACAAGATGCCCGCGGAAAAAGAGAGAAAAATTGTCAACTGCGGGCCTTCGGGCCTACGTGGTAAAGTCGAGTTGGCTAACTAACTAGTGTTTAGTTAGGCTCTTGTTAGAGTCGTCGCGCCATAGAGCCTCACTGAATTGGAATACTCCATACTCTCTGACCTGTGCCACCTAGTACTCCGTATGTGGTACAGAAAGGTAAGAACAAGTTACCAGACACCAGAATCGTCGCAGTTCTCACGGCATTGGATTAAGTTGAGCGCTGATACCGCGCTAGCACTCTTCGGACTCTGGCTATACTATGTAATCATCCGAGTCGACCGAGGTGTACAAGAAAGACTCGGGGATCTGAATACTCTTGTTAGCAGATCGCGCCGAGTCAACCTGGCTGATAAGGTCTGGAAAGTCAACACCACAGGGTCCCGCATGCTGTGTCCGTCGGCCAAGATAACTGCCCAAGCAACCCCAGCTAGCAATTTAACCCTCGAGCCATTGAGGCTGGGCCGATTCCCATAGGCCGTTTGAGCGGGACTTTCTCCAGCATTGCCTCATCGCTCAATCCAGCATCCACACTTTCACCTCAAGGTAATTCTAGCCCTTTCCCGTCTCCTCATTTCCGCGGTTGTTAGTCGGCTGGCCTGCTATCTACGTACTAACTTACATTTCTTCCCAACTGTATAATCACGAAGTACATCGTGGATCTATGACCTCTCCCCAAGGCGACCCTGACGCTGTTGCAGCTGTTTGCCTCAATATTCTGGAGCATACTGCGATGGTGTCCTGTGTAGGAGAGCCGATTGATCTTATGCGATAAACCCTCCGGAGGATCTATCAACGCTATCAGCCATGGTCGAAACAAGAGGGCCAGTAACCCTGGCTGTCACCGTCACCATGCTCGTCCTCGCAAGTCTCTTCGTCTTGTTCCGGTTCGTGACAAGAATCTGGATAGTACGAAAGGTGTACTTGGACGACTGGTTTATATTGGCTGCATGGGCAATGGCAGTCGGATTCTCAGCGTCTATATGTGCTGGCACTGCGACGGGCCTAGGCTTGCACGAGGGCGATATTGGGGTTGGAGACCATGGACATCTTAGGAAAGCTGGATATACCTTAAGTGTGCTATACAATCCCGCGTTGATGGTTAGAAGGAAACCCCATCTTCCGCAGATGTGCCACAGCTGATATGGTTCGGGATAGTTGACCAAGACCTCGATCTTGGTGTTCTTCCTCTCGCTCTCGAAGGACGAGCTACTTTTCCGCCGCCTGAATTACCTCACACTCTTTGTTGTAAACGTGGCTGGTGGTGCCCTAACCTTCCTCAATATATTCCAATGCCGCCCGACAAGAGCTGCTTTCACCTATCCTGAGCCAGCTAACTCATCGTGTATCAATATCGTGACTTTGTACCTCAGCTCAGCACCCGTCAACATAATCACAGACCTTGCAATTCTGCTTCTGCCTATGCCACTTCTAACAAGCATGCGCCTGCCGAAGAAGCAAAAAATCATTCTGGTTGCCACTTTCTCCGCTGGTGCATTTGTGGCCGTTGTTGATGTTGTACGCTTGGCATATTTGCAAGATGCAGCCTTTGCACCACTCTCGGCCCAAACTGGACAAACGGGCAATACAAAACAAGAGGAAAGGGGCTACGATTTTGCATGGAATGCTGCGTTGAGTTTTATGTGGTCAGCAGTTGAGGTCAACCTGGGACTGATATGTGCCTGCGTTCCCAGCCTGAAACCACTCTTCCTCCGGTTTCTACCCAGGTTTATCAAGGATGCGACCGAAACGAGCCTGAGGGACAGCATGGACGATGCACCACCCACCGTTGCTAAACAGAGCGTGCCACCCGGGAACGAGTTAACGAATCCAGCCGCGTTTCGTGCAGCAGATCCAAAGGAGAAAAATGGAGCCTATGGTGGGGAAGGAGGATTTCTGGACTTTCTTTCTAGCCCGGAGGACGACGCTTTTATGTCGCGTACTGCTACCAACGCGACAAAGGTGTGCACCGCTAGGTCTAATTTTGATTTCTACACGATGCACTCTACCAAGAATATGCTTAAACTCTCCAATCGGGAATCCGTTCGACCTGTCGCAATTGTGACTATCTTATTCTTTCTCTGGGGATTTGCTTATGGTCTTCTTGATGACCTCAATTCACAATTCCAACGTGTGGTAGGAACCACTCCTGGTCAGGGCCAGGGCCTTCATGCTGCTTATTACGGTGGCTATTTTGTTGGTCCACTTACCCTAGGCCGCTTCGTCATCAAGAAGTATGGTTTTAAGGCTTCTATGATCACTGGACTCGCTGTTTATGGTTGTGGCACATTGGTGTTTTGGCCCTCATCAGTGCTCGGGTCTTACGTAGCATTTATCATATCCAACTTTATCGTGGGCGTTGGTCTTTCCTGCTTAGAAATTGCGGCGAACCCCTACATCGCTCTCTGTGGTCCTTTGGAATATGCTGAGGTTCGTTTGAACCTCTCTCAAGGATTCCAGGCAATCGGAACTATACTATCGCCTCTTCTTGCCTCAAGAGTACTTTTCAAAACTGTGAACTCAGCACCTTCCTTGCTCAAAGTGCAATGGACTTACCTAGGAATTGCCCTTTTTGGGTGGGCTCTGGCCCTTGCCTTCTACTACGTGAACCTTCCCGAGGCTTCGGATGAGGAATTGGACGAGCAGGCCGACAAGAATTTTGTGGCCAACCAGACGAAAGTTGGCCCTCTGCGCGTGATTTGGGTCACTCTGGCTCTTGGTGTGTCAAGTCAATTCTTCTACGTTGGTGCGCAGGAGGCAGTGGGCAACAATTTTGGCGGTCTTTTTGCGTTGGCCACACCAAGCCGGTCTTCCTCGGACTATGTCACCATTGGACATACCGTGTTCGCTGTTGGACGGTTCCTGTCGGCTTTTCTGAATTATGTTCTCCAACCACGATGGATACTCCTGGTTCTCTACCTAGCTGCCATTATCAGCTGTGTGCTGGCAATGAACCTGAGTGGCGATGCCTTGATAGCGGCCGGCCAGCTCATCTATCTCACCGAATCTGGCATTTTTGCTGTCATCTACTGCATTGGCATTCGAGGACTCGGCATCCACACGAAGACAGGATCGGCGTTTATGACTGCGGCTATTTCTGGGGGTGCCATCTTCCCAGTCATTCAAGCTTCCGTCGAGCGGAGTCGAGGGATCAGATATTCGTTCTGCGTAGCTGTGGCAGCGTTCGCTGTAGGCACTGTCTTTGCCATCTACCTCAACCTTGTGCCGGCAGCAAAGAAGCAGGTAGATCCAGTGCATGAAGATCGCACGGCCCGCCGCAACAAACGCCTCGCTAAGCACCATCCCAATGAGAGCGACTCTCTGGCTAGTGCTCAGAGAAATCAATTCGGTCTCCTTGGGATTATCGCGAGGAGAAGAAGAACCAAAGCAGAAAATATCCCGACATCTCTGCATGTTGAGGACGGCAGCCCCGCGAGGCGAGAGACTTCGACGAGCTCAACCAACGGGGCTGATAGCATGGAAAGGGAGCAAATCAACTTTGTCAGATCCCCCTCCCCAGCAAGGGTGCAAGGTTCGTCCGGTGTTACTGCAGATCTGAAGCCTTGGCCGCCTTCTCCAGTTGACGAGAGACAAGGATTGAAACACGATCTTGCTCCGTGGCCTGAAGATTGAGCAATCTCTGGGAGGAGGGAACGACCATCTTAATGGATATCTCACCATATCATGTTGGGTTTTAGCGTGGCTTTTAGCGAGGAGTTGTGGTACTACTGACCTGAATTACATGTTGAGGGAGCGGAATGATGGTTTGCACATACACATAAAAGTGCCTCTGTCCATATATTCGCTGTACATATTTACACCTATAGCGATCATGAAGACCCACCGGTCTCTTTCACAAGCATAGTTCTTCGTGTCCCTCATGAATCATCTCCGTGTCAGTGCACTAACCCCCTGATCGTGTTGCTATTGTTGAGGTACGCTGCCCCGGGGTAACTATTCCTCCATTGCCGCCAGGTAACCCACGACTAGGAGGGATATATTGAAGACATCTGTATAGCGGCAAGGACACTCTGCAGCAAGCCCATACTGGTTGCAGGTGCTCATTTGCATTGCCTTCGAAATACTCCGTAGCCACTCAAGACATTGTAGCACCGGAGCTCCGAGTCTTGCATGATTGAGCACCCTGTTTCACACGACAACCCTTTGGGCCTCCAAATAGAAAACTGTTGGGCTTCAAGGCTGATTCTATCTGCTTTCTTCGAACATCTCGTTCTCAAATCAGGAGATCTACTAGACTGAGTGGAACGTGTATTCAATAACCTTTACGGCCACTCTGGAGGCTTATCATTGATATCTTTTAGTCTTTTACTAGGGGACGCTGGCCCACTGGCAGGGGAAATGACGTCTAAATACGTGCGGCCCGCCAAGCCAAGAGTCTTGGTGCTCTCTTGTTCCTGCAGAAAGTGTGACTTGGGAACCCGCCCCTTCCTTATGATCTTCCACTTTCAGCCTTCTGGTCTCAGTCTGCAGCACTTCATCGTCCCGTTAATACCATCTGATACGTTGACGACCACACTCCCTTGTCCAAGACTGGAACTGAAATATCTGTACTGCCTACAACACTGCATGAAGCAACCGCTGCCGACCTACTCGAAAGTCCAGCATTAGCAGTTGCGCGCAGAAGGTTAAGAGATCTCTCAGTCAGGGAAAACATCACATAGGACAGCTACGAGCAATTGCGAAATCATTTTCGATTATATTTGTTAGGATCCGTTAGCAGACAATGACTGCGACACTTGGCCGCCTCCGATCATCTCACACACAAGGAGCCTCAGCTCACTAAATCTCCACCTGATGTCTACAACTGTACAGCAAATGACAAGCGAAAGTGGTCTCACTGGCCATTCAATGGCTCGCACCATCCTTCGGACGGACGACGCTACCCGTATACCTTTCTCCTTACGACCTGACGATTATGAGAAGCCGCGAGCCTCTAGTGCTGATACACGACCAAGAAACGATATTGTCCCCAAAGCATCATATCCTCCTGCAAACGACACTTCAAACCCAGAAGATGGCCTGACAGTCAAACCGGACCTTCTAAGTCCTGAGGAGGCCTTGGAACTGTTTCGGACAAAGGTTGCAGATGCCCAGCAAGATACACAAAATGCGCTGGCTGGGGGTGAGGATGTTAGCGAAGCAGTACGACCAAAGTTAACACTGGATCTGGGACACTCCAGAATCGCACGGTTACCAGAGAGTGTGGTGGATCTTATCAAGGTCGAGGTGGAAAGGCTCTCACTTTCACACAATCAAATGTGGTACGTTCCGTTGAGGCTCCCGGAATGCTCGCAACTGCGCTATCTAAACATACGCACAAATGTGTTTCGAGACATACCACCGGTGGTACGTATGTCCGTCGATCACCGCATCACTTTTACTAACCATATGTTCTAGCTTTACAAGTTGTCGCTGCTGGAGATTCTTGACATAAGCAGGAACAAGATTCGGAGAATCTCTAGCGAGGTGAAGAACCTCAGTTCCCTGCGTGTCTTTTCAGTAGCGTACAACCGGATCGAGGAATTGCCACCAGAAATCTGCGAAATGTCAAAACTACTGATTCTGAAAGTTGCTGAGAATCCATTACGCTTCAAGCTGAAGAAAACAATTGAAGCGAAGGAGGCCGAAGTCGCACTGTCAGAGATGAACGAAAGCGAAAGGGAGACAGCCGTGACCGCGGAGATTAAACGACATTTACGAGAGACCCAGCCGATCGTCACCACAGTGGATTGCGAACCAGGAATGGATGTGGATGAAAGCGTGCTTGAAACACCAAAACCACTCAAGAGAGTGCCGAGTAGCCGATTTCCTGTTCGGCCGTCAATGAATGGGATTGAAGTGACTCCCGGAGACATGATGACAAAATCGCCGAGTCAGCCTAAACCACCGCCCATCCCAACCAGGTCACATTATCGAATAGCGTCCGGTCAGAATGGAAACACTGTTCGCAGGCCCAGCATCTCTCCCTTGGTCAAAGGAAATGAACAGGGCAGGAGCAACAGTGAGAATGTTCTGCAAGCGTCAGCTGCTGCGCGTTCGAAGCGAATGGGAATGATGAGGAAGGAGAAGTCGGATCTAGAACCTGTGGAAGAAATAAAGAACAATCGGGTTAGCCACCTCCGAGGCGTCAGTCATGGATCCGTCCTCCGTTCGAGAATCAGCAATGCCATCTCTCCAGGCAGCGGCTTGACGAGCCCTGTTAGCCCCAAAGAGGGACGGAAGCAGCGGAATGTTTATATCAAAAGACTGTCTAGCTTGCCAGAGCAGAGTCAGGAGTCAGGTTGGTGCAGTCCCGTTGTCGAGGGTGCTAAGGGTATCCTCTATGCCTTGTACCAGCTGCATCCTCAAATCTCCGGTCTGATCAGTGTAATCAAGGGAAGAGACTCGAAGAGGACAAGTCTCGAGCTCACATATTACAATGCATCATCACACGTCGATCGACTGAACGAAGCTCTTGAACAGGCCGCTTCAGTAGAAAGAGAGGACGGGGACGGTGTTGAGCGAGCTGAAAACACTGTGCAGAGGGACTGCGCAAGCTGCATCATGGCATATTCACATGTTATCTCACAGTTACACGAGAATGTCAGCAAGATTGTGGCAAGTGCGGATGCAAGATATATTCGGTCCTTCATGCTTCTCATCTATGGCAGCATGCTCGAGGTCAAGAATGCTGTGAAAAGTCTCAACGTCGAGGTCAGGTTCCAAGAAACACCTATACGGCACAACACAGTCAAGGGTTTCCGGACAATCGAGGAAGAGTTTTCGCCACCTACCGGCGTTATCAGATCTACCACTCCAACAAGAAACAGGCCAGGTGCCGGTACTCGACAGAATTCAAGGTTACGCAGTGATACTGCATTTCAGAATTCTGTACCAAGGATTGTAGCAGATTATCCACCAAAGCAAACCTATGTGCCGTCACAGATCGGGCCAACTCCCCAAGCACCTCTATACCCATATGGACCCCCTGGTATGACAAATGCATGCAGCAGTACCGGCTTCTTCGCGCACAACATCAACTCTACTACCTCAACACCAGACTATTCCCTTGGCTTACGTTCTCGCTCTAATTCTCGATCAACGAGTACGATGACACTTACAGATACTTCGATTGCTTCCTCTTTGGCCAACACGCCGCGATCGGGGGAATCATTTAATTTGCCCGTCTTTCAGAATCCGATGCGAGTCAATCCAATGACAGGTCTAAGTGATAGTCAGGAGGAAACCGTCTTCGAAGAGATATTTCTTGCTTTGTCTCGCGCTTACGACTCGGCTCTTCAGGCCCTACCCATAGCACGCCGTCAGTTCGCGCGCTGCGCAGAAATCGCGGACGAGGACAGGCGACCAAAGGAGGTTCGGGAAGTATGGAGAAATCTTCTCTGGCGGTGCAAAGCTTGTCTGGACGTGAGCGAAACATTGCATTTGAGACTTGTCAATATGAAAGTCAAGGACGCAGGCAACAGCGGAAGAAATGATCGCTCATTCTGGCAACTCACAAAATCATTCACCCAGTCCTTTATTGATCTTGTGGCAGAAATGAAAGAAGCGAAGTCACTACGACTACTGGCCCAAGATATCGTGGTTATTCTCCGACCGGTGCAGAAAGCAAGCAGAGAAGCAGTACGACTTATCGATTCGAGCCCGTGGGCATATCTGGCAGAAGCTGGAAGTCAACCCCTTCCTCCCCCTCCCCTCATTACGAACAGCGTCGTCAACGGTTTCTTCACAAATAGTCCGCACAGTGGCCACTCGGTGTATTCCAATGGCTTCCAACAGCATTATCCCCAACATCCGTTCAATGCCTCCCCACAAGCGCCAGCACTTACTTCCGTACAGGCGGCGATGCAAGGTGTCTCCCCTAGCTCGGTAGCTCTGCCAGCGACACCGCTGTCTGCTGCGTTAGGCCCGGCGGCCCAAGCTACCGTACCAGCTACGCCAGCATCTGCATGCGGCGATTCTTTCTTTCGTGGTGACCTTTTCGCCCGCGCGGATGTTGTGCTTGGTATGCGACCGCAGAATGCAAACCTGACGTTCAACTCTCGGAGATGAGTCATGAATTTCCACCTTGGGATTCTTTCATGCTACGAAACGCGCACTCGCACAGACGAAAGACAGACATGTGGCTCACGAATGACCTGTATGATGTACCCTGAGTCTCTGTTCGCGGATTTTCGGCTTCTCAGGCCCTTTTTGTGTACAACACGGCTGGACTTCTTTGGATTGGTGGTGCTCAGATAGTGTTTGTGAAGCAGATGATATGCGCTTCAAGCATTGTATAATAGTACTGTGTACTCGAGATGGTCAATGTCCCTGGCTGGATCAGGAGGAGATGCGTTATCATGCCATAGATAGATGTCAACTCGCAGTATGAAGCCCACAATTACGATTCGATCGTCCAGAGTTCCTCTCTGGTCATGCAAATACACAGCTCTACCCGATACAGTATTAGACCAAAACTTTCAGCAAACTACGTCTACAATGCCCCGTCAACAAAAGCCTTAAACGTCTATTTAACTCAGATAGGCCATTTAGTAGAAGTAAAGTCTATAACAACGAAGCGAGGTTCAAACATGTTATGATATAAGACTCATGGACAAGAATATTGATCGGACAGTAGGACTTTCATTTGAAGCCATTATGATTATTCTTTACTTGTATATTTTCGTTTGGAACGTCAAGAATAGTCTACATCAGTGGTTGTGCTCCATGATTCTAGTGTGCCGTATCATTCCGTCCTTTGGCCAAGTGGCGGAGCTATCGAGTAAGCTCTGACAATAGTCTGACAACAGCTTCGAGAACAGAGCTAAATGTACGATATTCTTAAGTTTCAATGAATCCCAGTAGATATTGAAGTAGAAGCGGAAGGGGAGAGGGGCAATGTGGGGTTTGCATTTAGGCCTGGGGTCCTTTGGTCTGGTGCTGTAGATGCTGAAACTCGCCCTGGAGTAGAGACGCATCGAGTTACAAGTTGTACTGCCCATACATACTATTCCTTCCGTCTTGGGCGGAGTGGGACAATATCAAGCAACTTACCAGCACCACTAAACCCCTTATCAACATCGTTGACAGAGTGGAGTTTGATACAACGGTAAAACGTGGAACCGGAATTACGTAGTAGTTGGGAATGTCTACTCTGAAGGGGGCGTTTCACCAATGATTTCCCATCAGCTTCAATAGTCTTTTCGTTGACTACATATGTGGCAAACATGATACCGTGAGCTCTGTTAATAGAATCATATCCTTCAGGCTATTGAAGCATTCTTCATCCACGTTAAGATCCAACATTGAGGGAAGATAAAAAGTATGTTATCCAAACAATCCATCCCGCCTCCCCAGGGCATGCAGGGTTCCTTTCCCTCATCAATGTCATCGAAACCGGTCCAGCTCCTTCGCAACACAAAGGATCCCGTTGTATCATCAAAAGGAAGCAGAGACCCTCACCGATCCGTCCAAGCAAGCGCCCAACCAGGGAAAGGCTCTTCCCCCTCCCCTTCCAGACCTCAAAACCGCATCACCAACCCAGCCCCGGCCACCAAAGCAAAACCCTTCACCCAAGCCCTCTCAGCAGCCGAGACTCTGACCCGCGGCGGGCCCCTCGCCTCTGACCGCTACTACCCGCTGACGCCCGGCCTGCCAGACGACGATCCCAACGACCCGCTCAATTTGCAGATCAGATCGCTCATATGGAGGAACAAAGAGCGAGATGGCAGGAAGGGGTATCTGAATGTGATACGGGCGACGTTGCTCGAGTATGCCTCGCTGTCTTATGATGAGGAAGCGAATGAGTTTACGGACAAGTATGATCTGCATATTAAGCAGTTGGTGAGAGTGCTGGACGAGTTGAAGAAGTGGGGGCATTGTACTTTGGGGGGGCAGGTTGTGAGGCCGGGTTGAAGATCTGGATGGGGGTTTATGCATCATATTATGTGTGGAGGGCGGGCGTGTTGCTGGGAGTGGCAAATGGCTAATCGCAAGCTATTCATGTTAGGGGTCGTGGAGGGAGGCAGTAGTTGTCTAGACAAACGGTATGGATAGTCAGCATCAGATATCCTTTTCGCTTGCGGCAGGATAATTCTGTTCCAAACAAATCGTCTTGCGGGTTTTCAAGTGCCTTCACCAGAAGGTGTGGGCATGCATTGTAGACTCCAACATGTTGTCGATCAGGGCAACAACCCCATGTAGGTCCAAATCTATCATCGTCGTGGTCGTCGTCTCTACAATGACGGTCTAAAGATAGTGGCGTTGAAGCTTGCTAGGAATCTGGATAGTAGGCTGGCTTAGGTTTGCTAATTTGGTTGATAGAATTGGTGTTGAGTCGAAGTTGAGGTTTGGGATCGATCCTCGGAATCGGCTAAATTTCGGAGTCGGGAATGAGCTCTGACATTTCTCTCCAGGTCTCCATTTTCTCCAGGTCTGGCTTCATTAGATGTGCCGTATCAAGGGTAATCTACAGTCTCTTGCTATGAATGATATAAGGAGCGTCATTGTACGATCACTGAGCTTCGTCGCCGTCCCACATAACAGTGTGTCATTCGACCTCTTCGTTCCTGATCTTCAGTGTCCTGAAAGTGCGCAACACGATGTACTTCCTACATAAAGCTGAAGAGAGTCAGCAGCAGACGAACCCATTTGTGCGCCTAGCGGCTAATGTGTAAGGGTTCAAGGTCAAGCGAGAAAAGGACAGGCCTCGATCGGATTGGCTTGATCTTGGTATAAATCTTCTGCAGCCTTGTCTTGCGGCTATGGTGGTGGATCTGGAGCTACATGACGGATCAGGTACTCCATGTCTGTTTCGATCCGATATTTGACTCGGCCCCTCTTCACCGGAAAGAAAATAGGCTGATACTCGAGGAGGAGGAGGAGGAGGAGGAGGAGGAGTAGAGAGTCTGTTAGAGCTATTACCAGAGTCTATGAATAAGTAAAATAAGCAGAATTTGCCAATTTCGTTCGATTGAGTCCAATTAAACAAGTAGATATCATAGAAAATATAGATTTGGGCAGATATCCAAAGAATCTGCACGAATTCTCTCGAATTCAGTAGAAGGCGTAGAATCAAGAGCGACGTGTAAAATAGCGACGGTGAGGTTATGGTGCTGTGCTAGAGCGACAGGGGCGTTGGTAAGGAGGCCGTTTTGTAGGGTTTTACTAGCGTGGAGCTAACAGTACTTTATGGTTGCCTCAGTCTTTAGACTCTGTATGACTAAGCTAGGGCTGTCTATAGATATACTACGTAGATTGCTGAATCAGTGACTTAGCTAATCAAGTTGTAGCAACTTCATGGCCCCTTGCCTAGGTATTAGTAATTCTCAATCTAACTAAAACTTCTTGGCTCTCTCCAAGGCTAGTGTTCCTCAATAGGGGCTGTTACACAGCCCAGTTTGTCATCAGGCGCGCGACACGGTCTTAGAACGGGGGCCAGGGCATATCTGCATTTCAGGCTCTTCCCTCTGATCCCGAGCTCTTCATATCTCTACTTTGTGGTCATTCCATACCTTTTGATATATCATAACTACACACACGTGCGCTGATCATGGAATGCTATCGCTTGAGCAGGAATAGAATTTCTGATAACTCTGCAATCGATGTGCCATGCCCAGGAAATCCCGACTCGGGCGGGGCATTGAAATGCTGTGCGCGAGGCTCCACATGTTTGGGCAACAACATCTGCTTTACGGAGGCGGACATTCCACCCAATGGGTTGGTTGAGCATTAATGGACGACCATGGTAGAATGATAGCTAAATAACCTACAGAAGCGGCTATTATATAAGCGGCTGCACCGACCAGACCTACCGAGACAACGGAGCTTGCAGCCCGTTATGCAGTATGTTTCATGCGAAAAGACACTGGAAGTGCTCGACGCTAATTTGGACACAGCGGACCAGAGCCTCCCAGACGTCGTATACTCATACACCAGCAATCTCTGGCAATGCTGCGGCACGGATGAGAACAATGCAGTGACCTGCGGAACGCCTACTTCACAAACCTTCAACGCTCCTCCACCGGCCCAGCTCAGAGCTGCATTCTCCTCGAGCGCGTCCTTAAGCACGGGCTCAACAACGAGCACGTCTTCTCCGAGCTCTTCCTCTATACTGACTGCCAACGCCTCGGCAACCTCATCCTCTGAGGGCACCCAGGCATCAGAAAGCGGCAGTGACTCAGGGCTAAGCGGAGGCGCAATTGCGGGAGTAGTGATTGGTGCTCTTGCCGGAATTGTATTGGTGGCTGGTTTGGCTTTTTGGCTTGGTCGAAGGCGAAGACGGATTCGCAATTCCCCAGCACACGGGACGCCAGATGCTAATATGCTTCTGAATACGTACGCCAACCATAAGCCCGCCCTTAAGCCATATTCCGATCGCCCAGCACAGGAACTTCATTCAATGCACACTACAGAGCTCCAGGGCGAGAGCTAGGGGCCACCATTCCTCACAGTTCCCGCATTTTGTGATAAGGTCACATCACTAAATTTCTGATTTACAGCATTAAAACAAGTCATTTTTGGATTATTCAAAAGTATGACATACTTTTAATTGTATTTTTTTTATTTCTGATTTTATTTTTCAAAACAAGATTTTATTATTTATGCTCATGGTAGGGACATGGCATGAAACGGCGGACAATTAAATGAGAAGTTGTGGTGAGAATGAAACAGAAATCAAGATACTGTATGATATGATGCTCGTCACCTTCAGCTATTGCACGCTGTTCCCGTCTTGAAAGCAGGCTGTCCGCTCCCAATTATCTATTCTTTTCAAGGTTATGTCCAAATTCCCTTTGTCCTGCTTGCTCTTCATCTCTGTCACCTTGGCTCAGCCCAAGATTTGCAAATGAGATTATGTCTATCAAGCACTTCTTCGTGCCTCTGACGAAGCCTCGTTCTTTTGTCCCGAATTCATCGCTCAGACCTCTTTCATCCCATTTACCGACCCTGCGAACCGAAGACCTACAGCACATCCTACACCACCCTCACATTCGCGACAGGTAAACCAGGCAAACAAACAATAACATACACAGACACATCTACCATCTACGAACCCACTACCGCACCCTTCCCCACAGCCTGTCCAGACGCTAATAATGTTGAGTACAACAGCTCAGACCTCCCAATCTGGGAGCGCGGCTGTGACACCGCTCTCAGCTGTGTTCGGCCGCTGAATTCTACCACCGCCCCTGGCTTTGATGCCTGGATCGAGCATTGCGTGGCATACAACAAGAAACTGGGGCTATAATCAGTGCCAGGCTGGTACTATTCTACCCGAGCAACGGCAATATCTGTGAGCTGGGAAATGAGCCGTGCTATTTTGGGCATCCACCCGGTGTGGCTCAGGTGGCGACTTTGAGGTTCTATCAGAGTGAAAGCGCGACGCCTGAGTATTGTGCTAGGGTCACTGGGTAGCCGAAAGGGTTTTGGGTCGTGAGCTTATGCCCCAGCTGAGATACTGCAATAGCAGTGATGAGAACAGAGTTTTATATGAAGCTACTTGGCGCGTCGTCTCGTTACCGTCTTTTCCTGCCAACACGACGGATGCAATCGGAGCAGTCTTCGGGTTGAGAGACCTCCTACCAAAGATCCATCCTTGATATAGCTACGCTGCCCAAGGCAGTGTATGACCAACTGACTTGGAAGGCGTCTTAGTGTCTGTCGCACAGCACTGCCCTTGCCCAATTGGCCTTTGTACAAAGGGAGTTGGCTTGAAGGAAGTCTTGAGACCTCTTAAGCGGTTCGCCGATATCGACATGGAATTGGATTGAGAGCTCGAATGTCTAACTCCGCTGTACATACTAGTTCACTCGCTGAACGATGAACATCAAGCTAAGCTTCACTCTTCATAGCACTCTCCTCGCAGCCTGTCAAATGTGGTGAGCATCCGGCGCATCCGCACACGTCCTGAACGCACAGATGGGAAGCAGTACTTAAGTAGTAGCGGCGGAGAAGGTTCTTAGGACACTACATATGTGGATGAGCACCGGGTCGGCAGGCCTCCCGGTCAGTCCAAAGCTAGCTGGAGTATGTTCGAGTGAGCCATGGCACAAATTAGTACTATAGTACTTCGAGCCTTGGAGGAGGCTGCGATAACTAGGCCGCTCCATAAGTGTACACTGTTCCCTGCCCGGCCGTCTAGGTTACCAATCCATGCCTTGTTTGCCCGACAGGGCATGTATATGTTACACCGCCATATCACATGCAGCTCGATCAAAATATACAAATAAGAAAAACCATTATCATCCGCCTCTAGTCAACCTCCTTTCTCCCTTCCCCCATAGATCCTCCTCCCATATCAGCCTAGAACGACGGCCAACACGATAACCACCAGCACGATCGCCATGATGACCAGCAAACAGCATGCCTTGTTCCTCGCCCTCTTCTGATACCGACTCGCCTGCGTCAACTCCGTATCCGCCCCGCGCGTGTCATTCCTCACATTCTCCACATTCAAATCAATCGCGTCGATGACGTCGCCCTGTTCCCGCACTATGGTCGCGACGTCACGGAAGAGCTCGTTGAGCTCGGAGACGCCCTGCTCGATATTGCGGATCTCGGATTCCCGCTCGATGATGAGGGATTCCTGGAAGTCGACTTCTCCTTGCGGGGCCAGGCGCGGTGACTGGGTCTGCAGCTGTTGTTGCTGGTCCTGCTGGGAGGATGGGCGGCCTTCGGCGGACGGGGAGGTGGTTTCTTCCAGGGCGGCCTTGGAGGCGCGGTCTTTTTCTAGTGCGCGGCGTTGGATCACTTGGAATTCTTGGCCGGCGGCGCCGAATTCGCGGGACAGCTTTTGCACCGTGTATTTCTGCGAGGCCTGGAGATGTGTCAATATTCGAGTGTCTGTGAGTGGTTGTGTGGATATGGTTACTGACATTCAAGTCCTCCCAGCCTTGTATCTTTTTGACACCCTCGCCGACTTCTTTGAATCCTTCTTTCGTCTCTTCTAGCAGGTCGTGCACTCTTTCCCGCACTCGTTCGGTGTCTCGTTTGGTGCCCAGCAGCGATATCTGTTGTGACAGGCGCGAGATGTTGGATGTGAGCTCGAATAGACGTGTGGATAGTGTCTCAGTCAGGTGGGAGAATTCTGGGTCATCTCGGTACTGGGGGTCATCCTGACGGCGAGTGGTGGTCGGTTGCGCCTCGAGAGATGGGAGCCGGTCGAAGGACATTTTGAGAGAGAAGATTGAGTTATATCATGTGTCTGATGCAGGACTGACGGTAAGCTGACTGAGTAGAGTTTGGAATGAATCGTGGGAGAGATGTCCGAATCAATTGTCTGGTGCCTGGATGAGGTTACGTGGTTGGGAGGACTGCATTAGTATGTAATGTATGTATGTATATACTGTAACGAGCTGCTTACAGTTACATACAGTACACATGATGTAGATTTGGTCTTGGCACAATGCGCCAAGTTCAACGCGATTGTTTACACAGAATTTCATGAACAAGGACAAGGACAAGGACATATTCGCCTGTCTGCCACCGGCGAGTATAGGGACCCCGATGATTTGCTGATGTAGCCTGGTCGATGATTCTCTTTCCATGTATCTCTATTCCTCTACTCGCATAAGCAATCTGCAGATATGTCGACGTCTTCGCCAACCCCTCGAATCCGGCCATACCGACGATTCCTCACCTCCGCCTTTCATAGACGTTTTGTGCATGCTTCAGCGCTGGCGCTGCTGGTGTGCTGGGATGATGCTTTCTGGTTAGGTAGCAAAAGTTCATGTGAGTAGAGTCAGCCCGAAAAACAAAATAAACCGGCAAAACCCTGATCGCGGCAGATTTCTGGTCATGGTTCCCAATCAGCCTGACCGGAGTCAGAGCTGTCCTCATTTTCGTATCCTGCTTAGCGGTCTTTATTCTTCGTGTTGCTACCTTGCAACTCGGTCGGCGAACCACCACATCACCTTTTAATACCTTTCGCAGGTCGCTCTTCAGCCTCAGCACTATCCAGATACTCTTCTGGTATGTGTTCTCGGCATGGTGGTTCAGCGAGGTTTACATCTGGTCGTCTCGAAAATCGGAGAACCTGGGTTGGATCATGAAGGGAGATATGAGCACACCTGACAGACTCAACGAGCGACCCATCTATCTGAGAAGCGTCTTTCTCATGCTGGCTCTTTGTCAAACGGCAATCCACGTATACAGCGACTACTCCTCAGTGCATATCCCAGTCTCCGCCCCGGCAAAGACCCCGGAACCAGACAGCCGCACTCACAAGCTTCCGCCGATCAGTATGCGGGTTCAGAACGCTATACCAAGAATTACACAACGATGCGCAGCAGTCTGCGTTCTGGTTGCTCTGTTCGGCCCCTTCATCTACGCCTTGTTCCTTAGACAGACCTTTTGGTCGTGGCACCTCAGATTTGCGAAGCTTATCTATAGCCTTCCAAGATCCGACGCCAGACCAACCGGTTATCCACCAAGCAAGCCAAAGTTCATGCTTCGATCGTTTGGCGTAGGGTTCTTGTTGATGCTCACCTGGGAGACAACATCGTTCTTCTTTTCGACATTTTTAGCTCAAGAACCACTAAAGAAAGACCAGCCATTGAGTACTGGTAGCAAGGACCCCAACGGAACGTTGATCACTGGCCTAAAAGCGACAAGAAATTTGGTGAAGACATTTGCATTCTGGGAATTGGTGCTTCTAGCTCAGAAGAACCCGGAGAGGCGAAAAGTTATTTTCGCGGACATTGGTCGGGAAGGCGGGCCGGCGTGGACACAGATGCTCAGTGCAGCTCTCAATGTTGTTCAGGGGATCAATTCTCGCATAGAGGCTGCCACCACTAAGCCCAGACCGAAAGATGAAGCACCCAATCCGGATACCATGGAGATAGACTCGCTACCATGTATAGCACCACCCATCAAGGAGAGGCCCATCTTCGCCAGTTCTCCCCCGCCTCAAACCAGGACTGAGGAGATTGAATCCTACATCGATTGGGGCGCCAAGCGGATCGGCCAGTCCAAAAACCCTTACGAACCACCCATTTCAAAGTGGAAAGGACTCCTCAAATATGTGACCCCAGCCGGCATCCCTCCCGAAAACTTAAACTTGCGGGCTCTTTTCAGATGGTTCTCGTCTCTACTCCAGAACAGCCCTATCGGCTGGTTCTTCCTCACAACCTTCGCGCGAAAAGTGAACACGACCATCCTTGGCTGCCCCCACTCCAACGCCGCTGTGATCATCGACGCCATCGAAGCCACCACCCGCATGCTCGTAGCCAGCCTCTCCGAAGATACATATGGAAAAGTCATCTCCGGTGTGCCTACCACAGTCCGCACATTCACCGCCACCGTCAACGCCATCGAGTCGTTCGTGCAGGATCATGTGAAAGAGGAGGCTGGGCCGGATGAGGATATCGAGGAGGTGGAGATTGTGCTGGCGAGGTTGAAGACTGGCTTGGCGGAGCTGTTGTCGGCCTTTCAGCTGTATTTGACGGATCAGGGTTTGAGTGCTGTGGAGCACAGAGCTGCGCAGAATGCGTGTGCCAAGGGGAGGCTTTTGCCAGAACGGGAAGAGAGGAGAAAGGAGCAGAACAGACAGGTGGCGGAGATGGAGAAGGCGAGGCAGCGGGAGCGGGAGCGGGAGCTGGAGGCGGAGGCGGAGGCGCAGCAGAAGGGTGACGATGGGAGGAGAAATGATCACAAAAAGGATGGCGGAGCTGAAAAGGGAAAAGACAGGGCTGCCAAAAAAGACAAGGACAAGGCAAAGCAAAATGCTGAAAGACGGCCGCAGAAGAGGCTGGAGCCACAGGATCCGGCGCGGAAGAAACTCTTCCAGAACACGGTGCCGAAGAGTATGGGAAGAAATAGGGAGATGGAGATGGTGAGGTAGCTCGAGTCGATGGCTTGCGAAGGATCTGAATGCCTTCCTCACGTCTAACCTTTCATAGCCAGGCGAGCAAGATTGCTGGTGACTTCTATGCTTCAGATCCGGGCTGTAGAAACCTCTGTCTGTGATCATTCCAAAACCGGCTCCCCCCTCTCATCGACAAGATGTCTGTCCACCTTCTCCGGGCCTCCGCCCACCCCCGTACAAATGACTCTGCTCACGCCCGCCTTCAGCGTCTCGACCGCCTTCTCATCCAGCGTGCCCAGCTCCATCTCCGCAGGCTTCTTGATGGCTTCCCCATAACTGCCCTCCCAGCCCTCCACCCGCTCGCCCAGAAGCGCCCTGAAGACACCGGCCACCCTCTCCGTATCTCTCTCCAGGTAGTACACCACAGCGTTGGGCCCGGCATCAAACGTGTACGCGGCCACCAAGCCCGCACCGGCATCCGTACTCTGCTGATTGATGGCCTCCACGATCCGCACCGCCGCGCGACTGACGTCGTTGAGATAGGCGATCGGCGGCCAGGAATCGAGACAGACGGCATGAAAGCCATTGGACTGCGAGGCCTGGAGATGTGTCAATATTCGAGTGTCTGTGAGTGGTTGTGTGGATATGGTTACTGACATTCAAGTCCTCCCAGCCTTGTATCTTTTTGACACCCTCGCCGACTTCTTTGAATCCTTCTTTCGTCTCTTCTAGCAGGTCGTGCACTCTTTCCCGCACTCGTTCGGTGTCTCGTTTGGTGCCCAGCAGCGATATCTGTTGTGACAGGCGCGAGATGTTGGATGTGAGCTCGAATAGACGTGTGGATAGTGTCTCAGTCAGGTGGGAGAATTCTGGGTCATCTCGGTACTGGGGGTCATCCTGACGGCGAGTGGTGGTCGGTTGCGCCTCGAGAGATGGGAGCCGGTCGAAGGACATTTTGAGAGAGAAGATTGAGTTATATCATGTGTCTGATGCAGGACTGACGGTAAGCTGACTGAGTAGAGTTTGGAATGAATCGTGGGAGAGATGTCCGAATCAATTGTCTGGTGCCTGGATGAGGTTACGTGGTTGGGAGGACTGCATTAGTATGTAATGTATGTATGTATATACTGTAACGAGCTGCTTACAGTTACATACAGTACACATGATGTAGATTTGGTCTTGGCACAATGCGCCAAGTTCAACGCGATTGTTTACACAGAATTTCATGAACAAGGACAAGGACAAGGACATATGTGGGGCGCGTTAATTTGTTGTCTGCGGGAGGGTGGAGGGTGGAGTTGAGTCGAGCTGAGTCTGGGCTGACTTACTTGATGACTGCTATGTTCACCGGAGCGGTTGTGCTGGACCTGTAGACAGGTCCTTGCGTATTGTCACCCATCTTAGATGCACCCTCTTGAGCGGTTGCGCTGTGTTTCTGGCCGGGCAGAGAGACAGAGACGGCGACATGCCACTATGTGATTGTTTGCCAGACCTCGATTTCAAGCTTGGACCTCCGAACCCTGCAGATGTTGGTGCCCGGGATTCCATCCCTGAAGCGTTCAGAATGTCTGTTCGGAGGCTCAACTGCGGCATTCGGCGCTCCAGGCCGCGGCCCGGGGAAAGAATTGGAGTCGCTCCGGGCATTTCCCCACCGCATCATGATCTACATGCAACGCAAGTTACTATCCACTGCAGTCAACTGATAAATGCATTCGTAGTATACGAGAGAGGTCGAGGCAGTTGCTTCAGAGGAGAGGAGGATCTACTGCTTGGTCCTTCAAATTCAAGGACTTACTTTGTATGTTACTCGCATAGAAAGAAAGTAGTAAGATATGAGAGGGTGCGGAGTGCCAAGGGCGACACCATTCTTTCCCTGGGCCTCGGGCCTGGATATGCTAACATCCCTACATCCCTTGCCTGGAGAGCAATGACCACCCCACCCATGCATGCTGCCCCCAATCGACGTGCTCGACACACTTTTTCATTGGTTGTAATTAAGACATTGACATAGCGTTAACATGCGTGGGAGCGAAGCGTGTACATTCCGTCTTGAGACTGGCCTAACTTGTGGACACATTTCCGAACTCAAAGCTTATGTCGAGACATGAATGGAAGGTAGTATTTACACCTATGATTTGCCACTTAAACTGGAGGTGATGACGGTGCAGGCGGTGGGGCCCCTGTATCGGTTGGAGCTGATGCTTCCGCGGCTGCTCGTGGTGTTGGAGTTGCAGGCCTGAAGAATACCTTCCCACTGAATACCTCGGCCTTTACACCCCAGTTCTGGACAATGGCTGGGTTTGGCAGTACGTAGTCATGCAGATGATCTTCTAGGATATCATATTCGGTGCGTGTGTCTCCGTCCTGGATGAGTCCCGATATCGAGTAGACGAGAATGCACACCGTGAGGCCTACCGCGTACATGATAAAGACATTTCGACTATCATGAAGGCCCGCATCTGTGTCGAGGCCTCTGGTCCAGGTGAAGCCAAGATAAATCCCAAGTGCAATGATAAGAGCAACTAACGATGTCGTGAGTAGCATCTGCGGCGCAGATAAGGTGATAACAGATGCCACAGCGGGTGTAAAGCATTGCTTGATTATGGAACGCGTGAGGAGTCCGTCGGCTGCATTGGAATGTTGTTAGAAGTCAGTTCATCAGGGTCCAGATATCGGAACCTCTTTCTTGATTCGAATAATATAGTCTCCAATAATGTCACTCCAGAATAACGTAAATAAGGCAAAGGGTAAGAAGTAGATGCCATAAAGCGGGAAAGACAGTTATCAAGTCGTCTCGGTGATTTGTGAGCAGCGGCAGAGGGATCTATGCCCCCACGAATCCACAGTCGAACTTGCCTAACGGTCAAGAGTCGTCCCATTCTTCGCTGCTGAGTGGTCGCATAGTAAACGGCCATGAGGGCGGCTGTAAGGCTGAACACTAGAAAGCCTGGAGCGACCCAATGTGACCGACTGAGGTCACTTAGTGACAAAGCCGTAACGGCAATTTGTGCCACGATGGCAGCCTTGCGTCTGTCAGCTCATAACTATCAGAGTTTGGAAAGATGAAAGGCACGAACTGCAACAGATATCATGGTGCATTCATCTTGTACAGATTTCTTGAACTCAAGAGCTTCCTTGTCGTCCAATTTTCCGAGCACTTGTGCTTCTACTTGCCAGGTTGTTTGACTGCCAAAGAATAGCAAAACAATACCTGGCAGTCCATACAAGGGAAATAGATCAAAACCGCGAATGGTAGATCGAGTAGCCACATCACTGATAGCTATCCCCTCCGTACCCAATGTGCCAATTATACACCCCTGTTCGGGTACGGAGGGGATAGCCACAGCGCCAATACCAAAAAAAATACAAAGCGTAAAGAGACGACTGCTCCCTCTGTTTCAAAGCCCAACATATTTCGTTTCGAGCGGCTGTTTAACAAGATTGGGAAATTATGCGCTTCTTGTCTATCCCGGTTAACAAATCCTACTATCAGCTCTTAAAGATTGATTTACTTACTTAACACGATGATCTGCAATGATTAAACGCATCAGCTCATTTAGCAAGTGATCGATGAGTTTGGAATTCCGAGAGATTAAGTCTCACTAACACGAACATGAGGCTGAAGTGGGGGCAAAGATATTTATGAACTGTGGTTTGCCTTATACAGTACCAGACTACTCCGTATTCTGCGTCAGGGTGCCGGGGG